CTTTTTAGCTTTCTATGCTAAGAAGTCTGATGTCTTCCTCTCCCCCCACCCACTGAATGTTTGTTGACCACACACCCAGTGTCTCCTGTCCACCCAGAGCCCGCTCTGGAGTTAGTGCTGTCACCGTCCCTGTGTGGCAGTGGGGGTTTGTCAGGCTCAGCTGCCAAGTCAGGTCACAGAGTCTTGGCTTCATGCACTGTCCCATGCTGTTCTCATTCCTGAGCCCTTGTGTGACCCCTCTCCCTGGAAGCTTTTAAGATCTTCTTTTATACAGTAGTCTCAGTGATGTACCTTGGTGTAAATGTTTTTAATTATTGTAGTGGGTACTTGGTGTGGGCTGCTTGAGAACTAGATTTTTGCAGTTGAGTATATATATCGATAATTCTGTGTACGTCTTTATTGTTGGAATCGTCTCTTAATTATCTCCCTGAAACACCACATCCTTCAAGCTTCCCTCTTCCTTGAAACCTTTACTGTCTCCCCCACAGTGCAGTCTCAGTCGGCCTTCCCAAACCAGCCAGGTTTGTGTTTTTCATACGCGTGGCTCTCATTTTGCTTAAATCCCTCACACTTCACTTGAATAATACACTTTGATAAACCTCACTGTGAAGTTTATGTTCCTGAAAAGCCTTCTTCAAAGGGTAATGCTGGAGAAACTTAAGATCTTGTGTGTGAGGGGAGATGGAGGTGGGCAATGGAATTAGGAAAATAGTTGCTAGTCAAAGTTTTTAAGCAATTTTTTTTGTGTTCCCTAATAGAAAACAGTAAAGAGAGGGGCACTAAGAAGAATATGAATCAGCAGTATAGATACTGTTTACTTTCCATGCCGTTTCCCTTGTGTGTGGTAAACGTCCCAGCATCTCCTCTCCTGTAGATTCTGTGGCCTACTTACGCATTTATTTTGCTTTCTTGTAGTGAAGCGGCTTTTCTCCCTCCAGTGTTCAGTTCCTTTTGTGAATTAATGACAAGGGAGTTAGCTCATCATGATGACAAAAAGATAGATTCTCGAAATAAAAGATGCTTTGTGTTGCCTTAATTCACCTCTCCCTGATGGAGCAGGTATTTCTCAAGCCCCTTCCTCAGCACATGGCTGGGTGGCCCTAGAGCCAGTGAGGGTAGAGGCCTGCCGGCAGGACGCGCTGACTCATCCTCTGTCACCTTCCGTGTCTCTCTCTCTACCCCCCATCTCCCCTTCCACCCCCCGCAAAGAAAAAAACAACCATAAACAGACTGAACAGAATGTGTCAGGACTACAGCTTCTGGTCCTCCTCTGCCTTTACATTTACTTTTCTCTTCTCAACTCTTTTTTTCTAAGTAGTCTCAGCAGACAGGTCCAAAACTTCATGTGGACTGGAACCAGAATGCTCTAAGCTGAGGAGAAAGCAAACCAGAGTGCATGTATGGGTGCTCCATTGTCACAAGAGGGGACACATTGTTGACGGGCGGGAGCTCTGCAGGAGGGCCTGAGCTTTGTAACGTCCTAGGACTGAGGTCAGGGTACCTGTAAAGAAACAAAAACAAACAAGCAAAAACCAGATTTTTTCTTTTTTCAATAGTTTTATAAATTGATTCTGCTTGACCAAGTTTCTTAAACCGAGGGATTAATTGACATTTTTTAATCCTTTAACGTAATTATATTGCGTAGGATACAAACTGGGTGCCCTTGGGCAGCACACAGTCTGAAGGCATAGCTTGGCCTTTAGAATGTTTAAAAATTATGAATTAGTTGCTTACATTTACAAATTTGGGTATTTCATATAAAATCCCAGATATCTACCTTGGCTTGAAAAATCAGAAAATCTGGCAAAAGGAGGCCCCTTGCTGCCACCTTTAGACGAGGCGGGCGAGCTCCGGATCCACCTGCTCCTGGGGAGTCTGTTACCTGTTCCCCTCCAGGCATTCCCATTTGCACTGTGCTGCTGCGTCGAGACAGCTAGCCTAATTTTGAAAATTAGCTCCTGAAATTCTCTAAAAATGTGTTCTCCTCTAGGGAATGAGGCATGGGTGGGAAAAAGGAAATTCTGACATTGTTTCTATCAGAAGGGAGCAGAGACAAGTTTCAAGTGTCCTTTTTTATTGCGATTACATTGGAAGGCTCCCTTCATGTTGCTCCGGCTTCAGATAAGTCTGTTTGAAGGTTTTGCTTGGTAGAGAAGTCAGATCTATTACAAGTATAACATTACATGGCCTAAATGACTCGCTCAGGCTTTTCCAAGTAAATGTGACGATGGAAGAAAGCTTTCTTTATCACCCTGCCTGTTTTCGGTTAAGCAGGTGTTGGCCAGACTGTGGTTGATGCTCCTGTTCCTGAGCACCCCCAACACGCCCCCCGACCCGCGCTGACCTCCTCGACGGCGTCCTTGCTCGGCGGCTGTTGCTGGCGCTGACCTTGTGCTCGAGTGTCTGCTGGCTTGTTGCCTGCCAGCGGAGTGGAGCGCTACAGCTTAGCTCTGGGGAGTTTCGCACAGGGACCCTGAGTAAAGCCGGCCTCGCTGCTGTGCTTGAGGCTGAAGCTGGGAGGGATTAAGTGATTTGCCTTCACTCACACCACTGATTAGTGATGGAGCCAGGATGAGAGTCTGAGTCCTCACCACCTGGTCCGGAGCTCGTCCCTGGCTGCCTCCATTCCCATCTTGCCACTTCATGGGACACACATCTCTTTTCTAGAACAAATGTCAACTTGTACTGAGGAACTGTCTCACTTCAAGATAATGTTTAGCCAGTCAGTAAATACGGTTTGTGATTATTTTAGTCATGGTTTGGTCTGTTTCATCTTCTTTGTTCAGTTATTCCTGTACACACTATGTAATTCTGTAACTTTTAGCAGTTGGCGTTTTAGACATTCCATAAATACATTTTCATTCTAATAAGTAAGCTCGATGACACTGGCATTGACTAGGAGGTTATTCATCTAGGAAATAATTGAACGCTTTTGCAGTATGTGCTTGTGCCTTATGGATAAAACTATTTAATGTATTCGGGATTCATTTTCTGGGTTTTTGACAGTACTCAACAATAGCCAAGAAGAGATCTTGCCATTTGCTTTTGCTAAGAAGAATGGTTTTGGAATTATCTTTCTGGGCTCCAGTTATTTAGATGTTGTATCTCCTTTCCTTCATCAAGTCCCTGTTTCTCATGTCTCTTCTCACATTGTCTATTTTTGTCCTTCGTTTTTTTCTGAAACATTGCTTAATGTTTGATCTGTCTTTTTAAAATTTTTAATACCAGGCAATATATTTAACTTTTAAGAGCTATTTTTATTTCTCATTTTTTCATTGTGCCCTCTTCTTGTGTTTATGGCTGTGCCATGTCTGCTCTGAGAATACTATTTAGAGGTGCTTTTCTGTTTGATTTTTAGTTTTCCCCTTTCCCACATTACCCCTATTTCCTCTGGGAGTAGTTTTTATTTTTCTTATTGGTGATCCTGTTTATCCTGAAATTCTCTCTTCTTCCTGTATCCCACACAATACACAAAATACACTTACAGCATCACTGTGTGCTTGGCACTATTCCAAGTGCTTTACATGTATTTACTTATTTAATCTTCACAACAAATTTATGAAGAGAATACAGTTATCATCCCCACTTTACAATGAAGAAACTGAGGCACCGAGAGGTTAAGGTCACACAATAAGTGGCAGAGCTGGGATTCACACCCTGTCTGTGTGTTTAAACACCACACTGTCCTGCCTGTAATGTGTTGGTGAGACCCTCCATTCTAGAACAGATCCAGAATGTGACTGCGTCTCTCCACCTCCGCTCTTAGAGTCTGTCCTCCATGTGGCAGCTAATGAAGTCTTCCCAAAGTGTAAATCGGATCATGATCTCCCCTGATTAAAACACGCCAGTGGCTTCTCATCTCAACTCCGTTAAACGCCATACCCTTCCAAGGACCACGAGGCTCTCCATGGCCTGACCAGCCCGCCTCTCTGACTCGCCCCCGCCTTTCGGCCCTCTTCCTAATCAGCTTGTCTTGTCTCAGGGTCTTTGCATTTGCTCTCGCTGTTCTTTCCCCTGATCTTGTCATGGCAGTCTTCTCATCATTCAGGTTTCAGCTCGAGTACAGACTTCACTCACTCACACACTCACACACATTGACTTATTCCAGTTTTTAAAGCGCTTATCAGGATTTTAAATTTCTTATTTACTTGTGTCTTTGTCTCTCTGAACTGCAGTCTAAACTCCCTGAGGGCTGGGCCTTCGTCTGGCTCAGTGTTGCACCTCCAGTGCCTGGATGAGGACCTGGCCCTTGGTAGGTCGTCTCTAAGCGTTCCCTGACAAGTGTCTCGAGAGCTCTTAGGCTGAACAACACCTTCCTCTGTTGCAGCCTCCCCCCCCACCGCCTCCCCCCGCCCCCAGATTCGGTCAGTACTCATATGCATGCTTTCAGTTTTCGACAGAAATGTGTTGAAATCTCTTGTCCACCAATGGTCCCTTTCCCATTACGGTTGTTGTAGTGTTTGTACACTTTAGTTATTTGTGTCTCATTGTCAGTATTTTTGTCACATCTGCAAACTCTCTGTATTATTATTTACCATAATTTTTTCTTAAACTGTTTGAATTTATATGAAATAGAAACTTTATATCACAGTATAAATGGAAAAGAAAACCATTATTGTCCTAAATAAGTGACTATGAAAGTTAATATGTACTAATTAAAATTAAAAATGTTATTCCATGTATCACTTAAAATTGTCAAAACTTCAGTTTTATGCACTGCTCTTCTGTACTCTGATAGTATTGGAGTGGAGAGTTGATAAACATGTCCTCAGTTATAATCTTGAACTTGAAGCCTATCGCTTGAAAATTGACCCTATAATGGATCCCTGAAGCAACAGCTGTGTCTGATTGTTCATGTCTCCTAAAGCTAGGGCAGCTTGAGTCTAGTGTCTCCAAAGTTATTAATGTACAGTATATCTCACTATTTGTCAGTACCGTTTTCAGTGTTGGCGTGCATAGTATAAGACGTGTCTTTGGAGCAGTTTGAACACCATTTGAAATTCTTCTCCACATCTAGGACTGACTGCATTGCATGGATGATGGACTTGACCTTATGTTTGAGACGACCATCGTGGATGGTGGCCAGTAAAAGAATGAGGATGACTTCAAATTTCCAGTGGCTCTTGTTAACATTTATTCTTATATATTTAATGAATCAAGTAAATAGCCAGAAAAAGGGTAAGTCCATCAGAGTCATAATGAATTGATTTCAGTGTCATTACCATTTTGATTATGAAGGAATCTCGTGTATTTATTGAACTCTTCGGGTTTTTCGTAGTTAAAATCCATTTCTTTGTCATCTCTTTTCTGTGTACATTTGGTTCTCTTAAAAAGGCCCATAAAGATGGATCTAAATATTCTTACCCCATTTAAAAAATTAAGCTACAATTTACATACAGTAAAATTCACTCTTTTAGGATAAAGTTCTGTGAGTTTTGACAAATGCATTCATTCATGTAACCACCAGCACAATCAAGAGACAGAACAGTCCCATCATCCCAGAAAATACCCCATGCTCATCTGTAGTCAGCCCCTCCTATCCCCACCTCCAGCCAACACTGATCTATTTTCTGTCTCTATAGTTTTGCCTTTCAGAATGTCACATAAATGAAATCTAAATATCTTTCTTTAAGAATATGTTGTTTTCATCTTATTTAAATATATTAAGAATGTTTGTTGCCTAGCTTATTTCTATAATGAACATTATCATCCTTCTGCCCCTGAGTTTAGTTTTATATTATTTCCATAATTAAACAGATCTTCTCTTTTCCCCAAGATCACTATTACTTTATTATGATTACTGATGAGTTCTAATGTGAGTGCTTCTAATGTTTTTGTTTTCTGTCTTATATAAATAGCTTTATAATTTATTGCTATGGCGAATATCATGCCAGCCATATGTAAAAAATTAAAAAACTTTTTCATAGACATTTATATAGACAGTCTGAGATAGAATACCTTTGTTACACTATAATAGCTTTATTCTCTCCCTCCCTCTCTTCCTTCCTTTCTTTTTCTCCTCCCTCTTGTACCCTCCTTCTTTCTTTTCATTTTCCTTTCAGAATGACAGTTTTTCATTGTAGAATGCTTATGTATTCCATAATCTAATGTTTCTTTATAGATGTGAATAAGTACTATTAGGATTGTAATCTTCTGAATTACCTATTACTTTTCAGTTGTTTAGGCCTACACAAAATACATATTTTTCAGAGACTCGTGTGAGTTCATTACTATTTAAATGTAATATGCTCCATAAAAATCTAAAGACTGGCTGGGGGCTTTCTGTGTCAGTGGTAGTCTGGGAACAGGCGGGGAAGCAGCAGTGGCTAGGAGTGCTTAGAAGTGTTTGTGGGCGCGAGAGACACATGGTTTTACTTAGAGTCACCTTTTTCTTTTTGGAAATGGGGCTATTGGAGATTAAAATCTCCCAGGCCCTCTCTTGATCTCATCACTGAATCCACATAGTCACTCCCTCTGCTTATCCCAGTTGCCTGGAAGGGGAATTTTTGAGAGAGGCCTAACCCCTCAATGGTCTAGCGGCTGGCCCACTTTCGTTTTAAACCAAAGCTACAAAAAGAAATATAAAACCAGTCACCTCCTGTGACTGCAGGTTCATCTCTGCACAGAGGACATGGTCCTCTGCAGACACATGTGCTTGTACTTATGACTGGAGACAGTTGACCTGTTGACCTTTTATAGTGCAGTTAAATAATAAAGCCTGTTCCCTGTGTGTGTGTCTGTGTGTGTGTGTGTGTTTTGTTTCTCCTTCTCCAGGGGCTCCTCGTGATTTGAAGTGTATAACTAACAATTTACAAGTGTGGGACTGTTCTTGGAAAGCACCCTCTGGAGCCGGCCGTGGTACTTTCTATGAAGTTTGCATTGAAAACGGGTAATGGAAATACTTTGATTTATAGTTATAACCTAAAGGTTCTTTGTCTTTAATTTTAGAATATAAAGATAATTATTCTGGAAATTTTTAAATGAAATTTTAAATCTTAGCTCTCTTTCCTAAAAAATCTGAGTCTTACATCAATCAAGATGAAAACAAACTCTCCTCCTGGCCAAAACTTTGATTCTTTAATTATGTGAATAGTAAGTATGGGACACAACCCTGCTGTGCTCTGGATTCTGATCTGCTATGGGGAAGTTTTGCTGGTCTATCCCAAGCCAATGTCTGCTATATCAGTTAGGTTCAAGTTTTGACTCTGCCTTACAGAAAATGTCAGTCATAGTGGCTTCAGAGACAGGCATTGACTCGCGTGTGAAAGGTCTGGAGTAGGCAGTTAAAGGCTGACGTGGTTATTTATGGCCATGAGAGACCCAGGTTCCTCTTTATCATGCTCCTCTGCCGTCTTAGCATGTGATCTCATGGTTCAAGATGATGCTTGAGGAGCGTCTATCATGCCTGCATTCCAGAAAGCAGGAAGGAAAAGAAGGATGATTTTCTTTAAGGAGACCTCTAAGAAGTCCCACACAACACCTCTGCTTACGTAGTATTGGCAGAACTTAGTCAAAGGGCTAAATCTATTTCCATAAGAGGCTGGGCAGTATGTTCTCCTAGCTGGATGGCAATATGCCCAGATAAACCTTGGGTTGATGTTATTAAGGAAAAGCAGGAAATGGACATTAGGAGGCAAGTGGCAGTTTCTGTCACACCACCTTTCCCTCTCAGGTAATTTTGGAGTGGGCTAGAAGCTCTGAAGCCTGGAGTTGAGGCCTTTGGGCTACATGCAAGCCAGAACATTCTCCTTGCTTTTGCCTAATCCCAGCTGGGCTCTGAGTAGCTTAGCACTGCAGAGGAGTTCCAGCACAGCAGCTGCAAGCCCCAGTGTGCGGATGAGTGGTCCTCATGTAAATTGATGTAAATGTGTATTTAAATACACTCAGATTTTTTCCCATTCAGTGCACATTTATTGAGCATTAGTCTAAGCATTGTGATAGTTTATCAGCCAGGATGAGCTCAGTTGTATTGCAGAAACAACCCTCAGATCTTATTTTCTGCTGTGAAACTAGAGGATTGTTTCCTGCTGTATTCTATATTCTGCCCCACGTGTCTCCCTTAGAGCCCAGGCCTAGGAGTCCCTCACACTCTGCACATCATGACAGGGGAAGGAGGGGGCGCAGCCTGTGCTATTTTAGAACTTCCTTCTGAAGTGGTGGATGTGACTTTCACTCACATTTCTCTGCTAATAAAGTCACATCGCCATGCCTTGCTGCAGAGGAGCAAGGAAGTGCAGTCCTACTGCGAATCTAGGAGGGGAGAAGCTGAAAAATTTGGTAAATAGCACTAATGACTACACAGGCCTCACAGAGAGGATGTTTTTCTGGCTCCCCAGGAGTTCACAAGAAACAAATCATGACAGAGCTGTGGGTTAAGTGCTGTCGGAATTACCTGTGAAGGGCTGAGGGAGCATTGACTAAGGGGTGTGGGGGTCCAGAGAGGCTGTCAGAGGTGTGCTTGTGGAGTAGGAATACTCGATTTTCTCAGCAGAAGGACAGAAGGACAGTCCAGCCTGAAAGAATATTGGGTACAACGGCGTGATCATATGAAATAGCACGATTTAGAGAATTCAGGTAGGGCCGGCCCTGTGGCTTGGTGGTTAAGTGCGCACGCTGCAATGCTGGTGGCCCGGGTTCGGATCCCGGGTGCGCATCGAGGCACCACTTCTCCGTCCATCCTGAGGCCGAGTCCCACATACAGCAACTAGAAGGATGTGCAGCTATGACATACACCTATCTACTGGGGCTTTGGGGGGAAAAAATAAAATAAATAAAATCTTAGAGAATTCAGGTAGTTTTGTGTTGCTGGCACCTAATGAAGCCTCACCATGTGAGGTTGAGAGAGTGAGTCGCAGTCCTGAGTGAGTGATGTGAAGAGGCCTGTGCGGGGCGGGGGTGCGGGAGGCACTGAAAGTCCCTTTGCTTGAATTAAAATTTTCATGGGAAGTTAGAAATGTACATGAATAACAATAAAAAGAATGTAAATATGCTCTATAGGGATACGAAGGGCCATGGCATCACAGAGTTAAAAATCACTGTTGTCTAAGAGCGTTTTGAAAGCAGAGCAGACAAGGAAGTTTTGTTCACAGTGAACCATGAGCCGAGGCGGAGGAGCGGACAGATTGAGGGTGTGTGAGGGGCGACGAGTAGCCAGGTTCCTTTCTGTCCTCAGTGTCTGTCGAGCACTCTCTTAGTGTGGGGCCCTGTGGTGGTCTGGTCTAGAAGTGTGGGCTGCGTAGGGGGCGGGGTGTGTGTAGGGGGAGGTAAGGGAAGGGAGGCAGAGGGAAGGTTGGGTGGGAGTTTGAAGGGCATGCTAAAATCCTAAGTTTCCTGAAAGAATCATCTGTGCTACTCACTTTACTTTCTGGTACCATCTGGTTATTTTTCATACCACCATGTTGATGCGTTTACCGTTAACCTCTCTTTTTTAAGTCTTAAAACGCAGTATAACCTATCATTTTTTTGTATACAAAAAAGCATAAAGTATTTTCCAGTGCATTTTGTGTTAATGAAGTTTTTATGAAAATTGTACTATTAATTTTATCTGCTAATTAAAAATTAATTTCTTACATTGCAGATCCTATTCTTCTTGTTATCCATCGGAGAAAACAAATACTAAAATCCCAGCTCTTTCACCTGGTGATCATGAAATAGTGATAAACCCTCTACGTGATTTTGGAAGTTCTATAAGTAAATTCATGCTCAGTGAAAAAAACGTTTGTAAGTATTTGAAAAGAAAATTGATTTGAAAGTAACTTGGAACAGCGCCTTTGTTACTATTGTGGTGCTTTATAACTGGCAGAAATTTGACATTCTGTTGCATTTCAGCGGTTACATTAATGCTTTCTTTTACCCAGCAACCTTACTGTGGCTGGTAGAGCATGGCTGAGATCAGGAAGGAAGCAAACTTGTTCTCTAGCGATCTAAATAGATGTGACAGAGTTCAAGATCCTTCCCTCAGGTGGATCCTTTGTTCCCAGCCCCTGGGCTTCGTTGATTCCTCTGCACCTCTCAGAATTTCTCAGGTGTCCCTTCTCTAGGAAATAGTCTTTGACCACCCCCTCCCAGAGGAGACCCCGTTCCTTTCTTAGCATTCCCTTAGGCAATCTGTATTTCTCTCTTGTGGCATTTCTCATAATTGCATCAGTAATTTATTATGTAATTAGGTGCTTACTGTGTGTCTCCTCCACAAGAAAATAGGTTCTGTGAGGGCCAGGCCTTTGTCTTCTACATCCAGCCCCTCGCCCAGTGCCTTGCCCAGAGCAGGCGTCTTCTATAAACGTGTTGACTGAATGCTTAGGGCATTTGCTACATGCTGAATTTGAAGCCAGAAATAAACCCAGGCTGACAGAGATGGGAATTTTGCTATGCAGTGAGACCTTGAAAACCCCGGTAGTCTTGACTGTTTTAGTAGTGGGGTAAGCAGGTTTGTTGGCTCCTGACAACTATTATGAGATGGTATCGTAATGATGTTATAATGAATCTTGTAAGGATGACTGTCTTTGAAGCAAGAGAAAGAAAATATAATTAACTTGGTGATCTGTCCAGTTTTATGGATAGGATGCATGTTTGGAGTGGTCTGTGTCTGACATAGCACCAATTTTGAAAGGACAATACAAAGCGTGCTGTCCAGGAATTAGAATCTGCCCCATTTTCTGGCTGAAGTGTTGTCTGGGTGAAGTGCTACTTATGGCTGTCTTTCAAGATAAAGAGAGAAGAGCCTTGTTTGTTATTTTCTTTCTGTTGTTTGATCTGTGTGACATTGTTTTGTACAGGTCAGCCATGATCCCAGTACCCACTGAGAAATACTGTTAACACTTAAATGTATTTTCTGTGCATATGCATATAAACAGTAAGGTTCCTATTACTTTATAACCTGCTTAACAGAAGACATAGATTGATTTTCATGTTATCTAAATAAATCTGTGTTATTTTTACAGACTGCCTAGTATGCATTTGAATGGAGGTACCCTAATTACTTTAAGTGATTGATTATTAACATTGAGATTTTTATTTTCAGTTTTTCGGTATTATAACCAAATGCTTTAACGAACATCTTTTGCACATAGATGTTTCTGAACTTGTGTGATAATTTCCTTAGGCTAAATTCCTAGAATTGAGAATGCTGCATTAAAGACATTCCCCTTTTTGTGGCTTTTGATATCCATTGCCAGTTGTTCTCCAACAGTTTTGAATCTCTTTGCATTCCCACAAACATTATATTAGAGGGTACTTGTTGTTCCACATCCTTGCCGGGACTGGGTATTGTCCATCTCTCTTAGTTTTGCTAAGAGTTCAATCAGTTTCAATCTGATGGCCCCCAGATTTTAGCACTGTTGTTTTTGCTTTTCTGTGGTTACGTTTTAAAAAAAATTATCATTCATTTTTACTCTTTTCTGAACTATTTGTATCCTTTGTAAATCTTCTGTTGAAATTAATCTTTTTCCTCATCAGTTCACCTCATCTCTATACTATGGTTGTTAATTCTGTCATATTTGCTACAAATATTTTTCCAAGTGTAAAATGTAAACTTTGTGGTATTCTTCACACTACAGGTTTTCATTTTTATATAATAGAATCCCTTGCTATTTTTCTTTATGAGTTTTTGATTTTGTTATCATGCTTGATTTAAATCTTTCATCCATCTGGAATTATTTTATAGTAAGGTATGACGAATATAACTTAATTTTATTCCAGATTTTAAAAAAATTCCCCAGTACTCTGTCAGGGAGCTGGTTTATGTTGTCTGGTTTCTCAGTAGGTATCGAGAAGGTCCTTTCTGGGAAGCTACTTGAAGATGACAGTGTTAGGCAGAAAGAATGAGAAAGGCAGATCATGACAGACTCTAGGTGACTTATTAGATTAATCGTTCCTTGTTTTTACATATCATGTGATTTGTTGATAGCATTTTTAATAATAATGGACCTGATTGTGATTAGAATATTAGATTAACAATATCCGAATACTAAGATATTTCTACTACTAAGAAAGTACCGATAAGAAAATTGAAAAGCAAATTAGATGAATGTAAGAGAGGGAGGTCAAATCTCTGAGACCTACTATGTGCATGAGAAGCTGTGAAATGATAGTGCAGCTGTGCATTAGAGGATCTGGGTTCTTTGGCGATTTGCTGTTAAATAAAAGTGTGAGAAATTAAGTTTTCTCCAGATCTTAAGATGCTTTCAAAAGTAGACATATAAAGCAAACAAGATATTTAACATACATATATATATATATATATATATATATATATATATATCTAAAGCTTCTAATTAACAAGGACAAGCACAAAAATAAGTCTTTGTAAGACTTATTAAGTTTCTTAAAATAAGCTGAAAATTTGGATCTGTCTGAGACAGAATAAATAAAGTGGATCCTGTAAGAGCTGGGGAAGCTCCATTTTCTATGTTCTAAGGCAAAAGGAGAATGGAGGTTATGGGTAAAGATGTACTAGCTTTAAAAAAATAAACAAACAGGACTCATTAAATTTCTTTTGAACTTTCTAGCTGAAAAGTTCCTGCTTTCTAGAAGAAAGCAAGCTAACATTGTCCTCCGGTGTCTATTTTAGCTGAAAGGAAATGCAGATGATAGTCCAGGGGAACTTAGGGGAACTCCCCATGTGTACTATGAAGAAGTTACTATGAAGTAGTGAAAAAAGTATGTGTGTGTGTTTAATCCTTTCATTTGTAATTATGACTATTACTGTCTTTAGCTTGAAATATTGGCTATGACTCGTGTTTGGAAGAGTAGCCCACTGCTATTTAGATAAAATGTAAATTATGTGGACTTTTCAGGGAGGGAGGCATTTTAATAGATAAGTGTTGCCTTAGTAAAATACTCCCATGTTTCATAATTTTAAAGTTACTACATCACAACATCTTGAAACATTTGAGAGAACCACGCTCTTGGAAGCCTCTGCTTTGTGTGGTCACACTGGCACCTTGAACTTTCCCTCTCCTGGCACTAAGTCAACTTCCTTCTCCTCGTTTGCTCCTTCTTTTTAAAAGCAGCTTCCCACTTAAAACTTCTCCTATAAAGCATCCTCCGCTGTCCTTATATGGCTGTGTAAATGTTGACTTTGCTCTATCGTTTAGGCTTTAAATCCACATGTTCTGTTTCCGGTACAGCCCTAAACATTGTACGTAAATCCAGTATAGAGCACCGTGGTCAGCAAATTTTAGTTAAATTTATTAAGAACTTATTTTTAAGTTCCAAGACTAATTTATATTGGTTGGCTCTGCTATTTTTGGTATTTTGCACATTCAGCTACCCTATCTCTGTAAACCCCTGCAGTTTGTGCTTCCCATGACTTTATTCACTTCGTCCTTGAGCTTCATGGGGAAGCACCGGGATAGAGATGAGGCCTGAGAACGTGTGTCTCTGGATTTCTTTTAACTTATCTTCACCTTACTGTCCTTTGAGGAGAGAACACGTGAAAAAGAGGCCCAGATTTCTCTGCCCCTCATACCAGAAAGCCTGTGTTTCATAGATGGAACAGGCTCATACCTTGTGTTTTCCACTGATCCAAAAAATTTCAATAATTTACTCATCCCTTACGGGTAGGAAGACTTGAAGATTTTGAAGCATACTTTATTCTCTGGGCTACTCCCCACTTTCTCCCTGTGAGATGCTGTGTCCTCGAGCCTAGTTTTTCTCTTTGCCTTTTGTAATACAGCTTCAGAGCCCACTGCCCTTTCACACTTCTTTCTCCAGTATTGACAGTGACCTCACCAGTGTCAGTGGTCTTTTCTCAGCCTTCCTCTATGAGCTCTGTCTCCTTTGGCCAAGAGGACAGCCTGTTTCTTTTGGTCTCAGCGATCCTGAATTTTCTCTGGTTTCCTTCTGCTTCTATATTATTCCCTCTCAGGATTCTTGCTGGTCTCTGTTTCCCTGAAGGTGTGACTGCCTATTGGTGGCTCTCAAACAAGCTTCAGCTGTTTTATATCTGTGCGTTCATGTTCATTTCTTCAGCTACACTCAGTGAGTTCTTCTTGAGTCTGTATCCACGGTTCTGACTTGTCACCATTCTCACTCACTGTCTGCAGACCCCCCCATTGACCATCTCCTCTTCCCCTGACACTTTGTCATCCACAGCCAGTCTCCCAAGTCTCTTCATAATGGTCCCTGATTCCTTTTGCTTTTCTTGCTGCTCTCTGGGCTAGAAACTTGAGGAAATCTTAGATGTTTCCCTTTCTCGTTGTACTAATCCTTCATTTCTTTGATCCAGTATTTTCTTCGAAATGCCCGTCAGATTTTGTCCTTTCTTTTCCGTATGTGGCACTATGATCCATATCCTTATCACTCTAGCCAGGCTTTCTCCAGTGGTCTCCTACTTAATCACCTACTCTCTTGCTCCATCCCCTGCAGACCATGTTGCACTCCACTGCTAAACTAGCCTTTCTGAAGGACTTCTTAATCCTGCTAAGTCCTTAGATCTGCACAGTACCCTGTTGGCTTCCTTACTCAATGACTTGGTCATTACTACGGTCTTGCTATTTACTGCTACCTGTACCAGTAATAGCTCATTGCATCGTGAAGTGGGTGACTTCCCCCAGGGTGGGGGGCTCTGCCACTGGGAGATGAGTGGGAAGGATGCAGAGAAAACAGATGGAAAGCTTTACTAAGGCAAACTTGCCATATTCCCTTGTTTTCTTAGGCCCGACCTACAGCCATACAAGGGAAGCTCTTTTCTTTCTCTCTGATGTTGCCTACTTAAAGCTTCCAGATCGAATGACACTAGAGTATTGTGGGAACCTAGTTGCTGTTGGTATTAGAAGACATTATGGATTTGAAACAGCCAGCTGATAAATAATTTTCTTAACTGTGGCTGATGAATCATTGAGAGCTGCTTGTACAAATAAATACATATATTTATTCTCTTTTCAGAATAGGTTCCACAGTTTGCTTTTCATTCTTGATTATTTTTTGATCAGGAAGGAATAGAATTTAAAATTAGTTGATTAATGGAATTACAATTTGAAAAATCATTACTTATTTTACTAAGTTTTATCTTTTGTTTCCTTTTTTTAAGCCTTAATTCCAGACACTCCGGAGATCTTGAATTTGTCTGCTGATTTCCCAACTTCTACATTACACCTAAAGTGGAATGACAGGGGTTCTGTTTTTCCACGTCACTCAAATGTCATCTGGGAAATTAAAATTCTACGTAAAAAGAATATGGAAATCGTAAAATTAGTAAGTTTGAACAAAAATAGATTTTTTTCTTGTGACATTAAAGAAACTGAATAATTTTTTAAAGAATTTTAAGGTGGTATCAGTGAACCTTTAGATTATTAAGGAAGTAGATCAGATGTCCTTTCAGGGTTCATTAAAAACTCTACACTATGACTCAAAAATCACTTAATTATTAAAATAATGTGTAACCATTATAGGAAGTTTAGGAAGTTAAGGGAAGAATAATCCATGATTCTACTGCTTGAACACAGTAAATTTCATCTTTGTGTATTCCAATCTAGCCTTTTTTATATACATGTTTTTACATAAATGAAATAAAAGTAGACATATAATTTAGTCTATTTTTATCTTTGTCTAATATTATAAACATAAAAATAAATGTTTTGAAATGTATTTAGCCATAGTAATTATTGAGAAATTTTGTATAGATCTGTAAGTTTAAATCTATCTGAATCTGAAATAATCTTCTTATGTTTATTAGTACTAAATTCTTCAAAATTTTAAACTTTTAATTAGTTTAAATTTCAAATTAAAATTTAACTTTTAAATTAATTTTTCATTTTAATTAAATTTAAATTTAAAATTAATTTTTCTTTCTTCCTCTTTTAATCGTGTTTATGCATGGTTTCTTTATGATCTGTCTTTAGTTTGCCCTTAGTCTAAGGGATAGTGAGAAATAGTAGTGAAAAGTTTTAAAAGCTGGTATGTGGTCATTCTCGCTTTTATCCTTTTACTCTTTTCCTCCTTAATGGATTTTAGCTATGCTTAGTCACAGATTTAAGAATTAGAAGACCATCTCATGATTTTACAATTTATTTGCCTAAGTACATAGATAAGACAATAATAATAATAAATAGGATTCTATATTTCATAGTTACTGTCCTGTTTTTCCTTTTTGACAGCCTATGTATTACATTCCTAAAATAATAGCAGGCACAATTGTAGTTAGCATGATCTAGGCTTCCGGCCTTCCTGACACTGTTGTGAAAGCTCTATGTGTGTTAATTCCTTGTATCTTCACAACTGGCTCATGAGTGAGGCACTGTTAATATCATCCCCATTTTACAGATGAAGATACAGAGTCATAGGAAGACATGAAGTGGTGGAGCGAAGACTCGAACCTAGGGAGTTTGGTTCCAGAGTCTGTACTCTTTCTTAATCACTACAATTTATCAATTTATGTTATGTAATAAGTATATTCATCTTCATCTAAGATGTCCCGCTTTTCACCTATCCAAATTGAACACACTTTTCCAGACCCAGGTCAAATCCTACCCCATATTTTAAAGCCCATCCTAATTACCTCAGCCTAAAATGCTCTCTCTTTTCTTGAATTTTAGTAATAGTTCTTGACTGACAATCTCATTTGCAGCTGGCTTTGATTTAGCTCTACTATTGTTGTCTTAAAACTATCACTTATTTAAAATTGTATTTTAAGCTTTTTATTGTGGCCTAACCTTTTGTATTCTGGGTTACTACTTACTGGCTTACGGTGATTTCTTAAAACCTCCTTTTTCTCATTTATAAAGGGGTGCTAATATTTGCTCTAGTAAATGATATGATATTTATAAAGCTGCTAAACAACATTAGTTGTCATTACTTCCTTTGGGTGCTAGATTTTTTTTTGTAAACTAACTTAGGGATGCTAGAATAAGAGGGATACTCTTTGAAGTATGAGTGAAATCAAACATAAATGAATGGAAATATTATTCTAAGGTCATAGAACTCATTGCCACAAGACAGCAATGGCAGGGTAGTAGTTCCCTTCTTTTGGGAATATGATCTGTGAAGAAAAAATCTTTGGATGGGGAAATACAGCAAGAGGCAAAAAAAAATAGAACAAATTAATTTTAAAAAGTGAAATATAAGAGGGTAAATGATCCAGGTCTATAGTAAAATGCGACATTTATTATAATTATATGTTGTTAATATCAGTATTTAAAGCAGAATTGCTTATAATCAGTCATTTTGTGACAGGTTACAATGCTATTATCTTGTAATATTTTAAAGATCAAGAATACGTTAGTGTTTAATTTATAAGTTTCATTTCCAGTGTTTCATTTATAACTTGACGATTTCTGCGCCCACAGCCTGGCATATAGCCGTGGAAGCTGTGCACGGCGCAGCCCAGGGTGTGAATGATGCCTGGGGCTTATGTGGCACCCCCCCATTTTCTCTTCCTGTCAACAACCAATTTCAGTTCTTTTAGCCGACTCTTTTATTATTTATCTCCACTTTTCCGAATAGCATGCTTATCTTGCTTTAAAAAAAAATTTTTTTTTTTTCAGTTTTGAGTGATATTCTGTTAACTTCCCACAATGGAAAATGAGAATTTAGTTCCCTCTTAACTCCCCGCCCAGGCACAGACACTGGCGTGCTTGTGTGCTCTCCCTCTCTCTCTCTCTCTTATATTTCCTATCTTTTTCCAGTACTGTTCTGTTATAATTTTTGGTAGACCAGTGTTCATTGTTGGTATTATGATTATGTAAACACTATCCAAAACTGAACCAAGTAGTGTTTACTATTTCTACTTGTCCTTTTTTTGGTATGACTTCTTGTATTGTCTTGTATTTTTAGTTTTACTTGTCTGCTTCATTAATTCAATCCTAAATTCTGTCCAGGTTGTATGAATCTCCTCTCAAAAGTGTTCAAACATACTAGTATTTTATCACTTTTATCTTTGTGAATAAATCTCTCTGAGAGTCTTCTGACTTGCTTCCCAACCCTTTTCATGTAAGGGCTGACATAGGTCCTGATAATATTCATGTAGCACGGAGTGTGGTAAATAGCTGAGGATTCTTGTGACCAGAGGTGTCACAAGAGCTCCAGCAGCCTCAATTCCCACCAGCCAGTGCTAGGTTTGAAGAGATTAATATTAACTTAGGTATATCCATAACCCATTCAAGACAAACCTAAGTGTCTTTTGGCACATTTATTAGGAAGCTGTGGTCCAAGTGGTCTCCATCATCACCTAGGGGATTCCTTTTACCTTTTTCTTGCGATGAATCCTCTTTTTCCTGAATTCCCTGTCTTCCTCTATTTCCTCATTTTGGTGGAAGTATAGATTCTAATAGTTATTTGCTATATATTGTAGATACTCTGTTATTTACAATGGTAGCTTGTAGATTTTTTTCTTTTAAATTAGTTGCCAACAAAATTTAAAAGACTATCAGTTCCAAATGTTGAGAAGATGTAGAACAATTGGAACTTGCATACACTTCTGAGAGGAATGTAAATGCTACTTGATGAATACATTGAGAGACAACATTTCTGAAAATGCCTTTATTCTGCACTTACTCATGATGCTAGTTTAGCTGGGTATAGAATCCTAGGTTGGGAAATTTTCTCAAGATTTTGAATACATTGTCCCGTTTGTTTCTTATTGTGGATCTATCTTCATCTGTTGTGCTGGACACACATTGGATCTCTTTCAGTCTGAAAACACCTGTCTGTCAGGTTAGGAAATTTTCTTATTTTATGTCTTTGATTTCCTTATCTCTATTTTCTCCTTTTTTTCTCAGAACTTCTGTTTTTTAGAAATTGCACCTTCTAGACTGGTCCTCTGATTGTCTTATCATTCCTACTTTTCATCTGTATTTTGCTCTATTTTCTGAGCAATTTTTCCTAAATTTTATCTTGCAGTCCTGCTATTAAATTTCTATTAATATATTTTTTAATTTAGAAGACATCCCTTTTTTATTCTATCTGTCTTTTGTTTTTAATATATCCTTGTTATTTCATGGATACGATATCTCTTCTTATCTCTGAAGATATCAGAGATTAAAAAAATCTTTTTTCTGCAGTCTGTTTCTTCAAGCTGCTTTTTTCTTTATTTTGATCTTTGACTTTCATAATAGAACTTTTTCTCCACTTTCTGGTCATCTGGTTACTGCTCATATTTAAGTGAGTGGCTCTTAAAAAATAAAAAAAAATCTAACTGGAATTTCTGTTTGCCTGGATGGGATTTGTTGACTGTGGCTTCATTACAGGTGATTAGGATGGGCTATCTGGTTGGCAAAATCTTAATATTATTATTTTAGGTTTTTATTTTGACCTGTGAAATGCCCCATAAAAGTTTGTTTAGACTCTTACCTGGTGAGTTTGAACTGGGCCCTCAGTATCCTGGGAGCTGAGTAGAGAAAGAAGGCAGGAGTGTCCTAGCCTTCAGAATGCATAGGTTAGCAATCCCCCTGTTTTTGGGACAGTTTTCCCCATTCTCAACTCTTCCTAAAGTTCTTCAATCCAGAGGTATTCTGTTTTACTTTTCCAGAGCATAAATCTCTATTCTCCTGCCAAGCTGAGGGGTAGTCCTTTGGTAGCATAGAATATGGGAGGGGATCTGGGTGTCTTACATATCTTCAAATAACTTTCAATCAGCCTTCCTGTTTTGCACCTCACCTTCACTGTGCATTTCCAGGGGAACCTGGTGTAGCCACTTTCTTAGCCCTTTGGCATGCCTGTGATAGAAATCAGGTTATTTCTGGCTTTCCCATTGGAGGCTTAAGATTCAGCTTTCTCAGGTCTTCTGAGTCAGTTACTATTGTCCATCTGCTTTCCATTGTCCAAAATTTTATTGGTGTTGGTTCTTCTATTTTTTGCCCTAGTGCATCTGTACCTTAAAGAAAAATTCTGTGTACTCTTGTTTTAGTGGGATTTCAGTCGGTAAGAGAGAAGGAAATACATTTATTTAATCTATTTTCTTTAACTGGAAGTCCCAAGGTCTCTTTTAGTACATCCTCAGTATATGATTGAAATCTTACCCATTTTTCACAATGTAGATTAATATTTTATATTATTATAAGTTTCATATTTAAAAAATAAAATTTTAAATATATAATGCTTATATAAAAAACAAATCCAGTCTAAAATAATAATTTATTTTGTTGAAATGCTGCTCCTCTCTTTGACTTTAATTTTTGAAGGTACAAACCCATTAATTATTTTTTCTCCATGAAAAATGGAGATCATTTTAGATATTGTATATTTTCTTGTGAACTGTATTGAATGTTTTGGGATATCCACATCTTGTGTAATAATGCAGTAGGGCCTAAAGAAGAAGTAAACATAAATGAATCCATGATTATTGTTGCTATACCTCTCCTTATAGTAATGCCTTATGCCTTATAGAAAACGGAGACAGTTTTATAAAAGGACAAACCTTTAACTTACTTAACTGGTGATTGTATACAGTCTATTGTGTTTTTTAATCCTAAAGGAAAGCAGAACATATCACCACTTGGAAATATAATTTTGTGTTTGTGTTCATTTTTTTAGGTGACCCACAACACAACTCTGAATGGTAAAGATACAGTTCATCACTGGAGTTGGACCTCGGACATGCCCTTGGAGTGTGCCACTCATTCTGTGGGAATTAGATGCTACATTGATGATCCTCATTTCTCAGGTCGCAAAGAGTGGAGTGACTGGAGCCTGCTGAAGAATGTTTCTTGTAAGCTTATATTAAAGACTTTTTGTTTCAAATGAATTAGATTAATCTTGCTTAAGGGTAAGCTTTAGTTTAAGCTTTCAGTTCTCTGAAGCCCATTTGGCTGCATGAGGGTCACCTGGGGGTCTTCTAAGTCCCCCATCCCAGAACATTTTGATTCAAAAGTCTAAGATAGGCTTCAGGAATCTGTATTTTTAAAGAACTTTCTGAGTGATTGGATAAACATCCAGGTTTGAAAACCACCGTGGTAGGCACTGAAGAACATTTGAAAATTATATGCAGGTGGTAAGTCTATATTTAAAAAAAAAAAAAATGGCTCCCAATTTCTCACCCACAGAGCAGACTCCTGTGAGCTGCTGAGTTATTGCAGAGAACATGGTAATCTGCAAGTATACCAGAAATCATCTGTACAGTGAATACAACTCATATGCAGGTAGAATGTTGGCAGTGTGAGAGAGGGCCTGGGAAACTGTTGACAATAAAATGACGTCCTTGAAAAGGCTGATAATCATTGTAGATGGTCCATTCTAGTGACAGCATGGGGAAGCAGACCAGAGGGAGGAAGAACTGGAAGAAGGTACGTAAGGAGAATCTGGGTACAGTTCAGCAGAAGACAATGAAGGTGTAAACCAGGACCCTTGGGTCTAGAGATGAAAAGGGGGAAAAGGTGTGAAAACACTAGAGAGACAGAATTAGAATTAGTGACTGTGCATTTGGTCAGGGAGAAATAGAGCCAAAGATGACTGTTAGTTTGTGCAGCTGGGTAGCTGGTGGTGTGGTTCACTGAGACAGAAAATAGCTGAACAAATTAGGTGGGAAGGATAAATTTCATTCTTAATGTGTTGAACTTGAGGTGCTTATGAAGCGTCTGGGTGGCAGTGTGTCATAGGCAGTCAGAAATACAAGTTTGGCACCCAGGTGATTAGTTGGAGCTGGAGATACGTGTTTGAGAATCGTCAGTGTATATGTGATGTGATGTGGAGGTTAACATAACTCAGGGAAAGGGGAATGGGGACCAGAGACATATCCCCTAGAAACTTGTATGTCTGAGGATAGCGTGGAAGAAAAAGACGCCAGCAAAGGAAACAGCAGCCAGAAGGTTAAGAGTAGCCCAGGAGAGAACAATGTTCTGGAACCCAAGGGAAGGGAGTTTTGAGAAGGAAGACTTTAGGCAACGTACCAGATGCTGTGGAAGTCAAAGGGAAAGACTCCTGAGAAGTGGCCATTGGATTGAGCAGTTGGGCCAGCGAGCCACTCTAGTAGAACGGTCGGGGTAGAAGCCAGATTGCAGTAGATTAAATAGGTGAAAGGAGACTAGAGGTAATTAAAAAGATTGGCTATTTAGGACAAAAAAAAAAGGGGGGTATGGCTTTACCTGCAGAGAGTTGGGTTTAAAGAAAAAGTGCTTTTAAGGATGTGGAGTACTTAAATATATATTTAAGCTGATGGAAAGTAAGAAGGCTGCTCTAAATACATAGAATCATTTCAAAAGAATGGAATTATTTAATGAGTCCACTTTTTCTTGGTGTGGATTTTTCACATGTGGATATAAACCCATTTAATTTGAACCTTTAGACTTCTTAGACATTAACCTGTGACCTTAGACATTGACCTACCATCCCCTCCACTCCCCCCGCCATCACTCCATCATAAGTAAATAAAACCACACCCACTTTTATTTCTTTTATATGTCTTGCTCCTTTGAAACCTGGGGGGCATACCTTATCTTTGGGCCACCATTATCACGAAGCACATAACGGTATGTTTGGTATACACTGGGCTGTTTTATGGTAAAAGACTTCTGGGTTATTTATAATTCTTTTTGCTCTTTCTAGGGTCTCTTGATTCTCAGACTAAGGTTTTTCCTCAAGACAAAGTGATACTTGTAGGCTCAGATATAATAGTTTGTTGTGTGACTCGAGATAAAGTTTTATCAGCACAGATTGGCCTAACAAAGTGTCCCCTTATCCATCTTGATGGGAAGAATGTTGCAATCAAGATCCAAAATATTTCTGTTTCTGCAAATAGTGGAACAAATGTGGTTTTCACAACGGAAGATAACATATATGGAACAGTTATTTTTGCAGGATGTAAGTATATAATACTAAGAAGAGTTCTTATTAATCTGTTTTGATCCTCTTTGAAAGCCTTAATGCTTTTTCTGGGGGGGGTGAATCTATCTCTTATTTTTTTATTCTTTAATATAAATGATATATGAAGGTACCAGAATTTTTGCTTGTTTTAAGATGAATTCTAAGCTTGTTTTCTATATACCTGCATCTGTATAACTTATAGGTTTTGTAATAAGATTTGAAACATCCAGCTGCTAATTTTTAAATTCTTATTTAACAGCTTTGTTGAGTCAAGAGTAGTTAGTATATAATATTTCTTAAACCTACATTGTTCAGGAATTATTTCAGATAAATTAATTTCCCACCTAATTAAAGCATACCTTTTTAACATAAGTACCTGAATTAAAGAAATGCTAATGATTTTACACAAAATCTTTCAATAACATAATATATGCTTCTCCAACTTTTAAAATAATATATTTGAGGAGAAGAGGGTAGGTGGAGCATGTAGGTAAGAAGACGTCCTTCTTACTGTGTTCTCTGTGTGATGAATGCTCTGTAATGCAGGGACATCTTTATTAACATGTTCACACCTGCAGTCTAAAGTCCCATGACATTTCCAGAAGTTGTTGTGGGGGACTGCCCTACCTTGTGTTGAATGTCCACAATCTTGGATTTCAGCTTTTTCTGTCCCCTTTCTGGCAACTGTCCTGTGGTGCTGGTGGCCTTGCCTCCAGCCATGCTTCCCTTCCTCCTCACGTTCTGAATCAAAAGGCTCTGCGTTTGGTCTCAGGGTCTCAAGGATAAAGTGTGTGAGATGTAGTGAGTGGGTTTTGTGATTTTCTTTTGATTGCTTAGTGATTTTTCCTGTGCTTTCTTATGATTCTCAGCTGTGCTGTAGATCAGCCGCTCTCAGTCCCTTTTTTCCGTACATAGAAACTTATAAATTACATTCATTTGCTGATATAGATAGCCCCAAGAGAATAACCAGGATTAGGTGCACTTCTCAGCTTGACGGCTATAACTGTACTCTCTTTTTGCCTTCCCTGTAATACATTTTGGAATTCAAGTGAGAGTGAGGTTATGTTGACATTTAAATTTTAGAAAATTGTTTTCTTTCCTAATGGAATTTTAGGAAATGACTTGGAACATTCCTCACAAATGATCATGGAGTCTGAGTTGAGAACCAGTGGTATGTGCAGTGAAAGCGCCCTGATACGGCATACCAAAAAGTGAGATAGCCACTTTAAAAGTATGAAAGAAAAAAATTAAAACTTAAAAGATGAGAATATTCACAGTTGTTATTGTTTCCAACAGTGTTCTAATCTTTTATCATAGTACTAGAACAAATCTATTTAATTCATAATTTCACCTTCATTTATAACATTTGGAGGTTTAAATATTGTTCAGTATTTGTCAACTAGGAGCAGCAGTAGAATTTCCCTTCAGAGGGAGCGCTTTAGAAACTTATAACAAGGGCAGTTTATGGTGTGAGTTAGGGATCAAGATTCATTTATTTTCTTTCCCTTATGGATAGCCTGTTAACCCACCATTTATTGAAAAGACTGAAAAGAGTTTTAGAATCAGCTTGTAGTTTCCTCCTATACACACACATACACAATCAAAACCTGCCTGGATTTTGATTATGTTAAACCTATCAATTTAGGAGAATTTTCATTCTTTACGATACTGAGTCATCCAAACCATGGACATAGTATATCCTCCATTTAGTTAGGTTGTCTTTGATTTATCTTAGTGATATGAGGTCTTGTATATATCTTCTAGTAAATTTACTCCTGTGTATTTGGTGTATGGCACTGATAAAAATGGCTTCTTTTTTTTTCTCTCCGGTTTATTATGGTTATTGCCAATAAATTTATTATCTAGCAGACAGAAGAATAGTTATTTACCAATACTTAGTGTTCATGCATGAGCTAATTTAGTCATAATCAAAATAGATCTTTATAAACATTATTTGTTCAGTAATCACTCAAATGAATAATTTTCATGGATAATGCCACTTCAAGCATTAAATATTGACCTGAACGTTAATCTTTCATTGTACTTAAGATATTTTAAAATATATACTGTGATGTAGGATTAGAGCATGTAAATATTTATATCACATGTCAAATTTTATACTTTCTAATTTGAAAATATTTTCATAAAATGGCTTTGTTTTTTAAGTTGCATTTTCTATTTGCTGGTATATCGAAATACAATTGATTTATACCTAGATTTGTCTAGCTTCAGTTGATTCTTTGTAAGTTAATTTCTTTGAAAAGAAAATCAGTACATTACCTTTCAGATAGTGCCCCTTCGTGGTTTTTCTCCTTCTGTCTTTGCTTCTGCTTCTTTATAGTTTGCTCATGTTATTTGGATTTTGAGTATTTCAACTTAATGTATCTGCTAGATACTAAAATAATCAGCATTTTAAATATACGAAAAATTTTGGTATGTCATTTTAATAAAGTGATTGAAAGTTTGCCCTTATATTTAAAATAATTTTCAAAACAAATATATCAATGGTAGTTTCATTATCTAATTGTTAGACTTTCATATAAATACTGATTACTCCTCTTAATATTACCTAAAATATCATTGAAGGACCTTATTCTTATCTCTGGGGAAGGTATATGAAATTTTCTAAGTTTGGTTAATAAAATAAGAACTGTTTTTAAAATTCAGTTTTTTAAAAATAAAATTATTTTACAGAAATTTTCAAGTAGATAATTGGTTAAAAAACACTTACTTTTAGAGAGAGATAGTTGGGATAAATATGGCAGTAGGAAATATCAGTTTCTATATATGCTTGGTTAAACGTGATTACAGAAATCTGTAATCAGTGTCAGACTGCAGGATTTTCCCTTATCACTTTAAAGGTCTCAGACATACACAAAAACAAACTTTTTTTTTCTAGTCCTGCCCCTATGAAGCCAGAAAGAGTAATTTCAATAGAGAACAAAACAACAAAAGAGCAGCAGTCAGTTTGAATATAGGGAGATGCAGAATTTTACCAAGAGTTACTTTGTAAATAATAGTCCTTGTAACTTATTTAAGAACTCTAAAACTTGTAACATGACTTATGTTGACTTTTAATATGATATGGTACTTCTTTTCAAATCATGATATGTAGATGATAGATAATAATACTTGTGTGTGTTTGTGTTATTTTTTCCTTTTTTAAATTTTATTGAGGTCATAATAGTTTATAACATTGTGAAATTTGAGTTGTACATTGTTATTTGTCAGTCACCATGTATATGTGCCCCTTTACCCTTTATGCTCACTCCCCAACACCCTTCTCTGGTAACTACTAATCTGTTCTCTTTGTCCATGTATTGTTTATCTTCCACATATGAATGAAATCCTATGGTGTTTGTCTTTCTCTGTCTGGCTTATTTCACTTAACGTAATACCCTCAAGATCCATCCACGTTGTTGCAAATAGGATGATTTTGTCTTTATTAATGGCTGAGTAGTATTCCATTGTAGATATATACCACATCTTCTTTATCCATTCATCAGTTGATGGGCACTTGGATTGCTTCCATGTCTTGGCTGTTGTGAATAATGCTGCCACGAACATAGGGGTGCATAAGTCTCTTTGAATTGTTGATTTCAAGTTCTTTGGATAAATACCCAGTAGTGGGATAGCTGGGTCATATGATATTTCTATTTTTAATTTTTCCAAAATAGATAATAATACTTTTAACCTGTAGATTTTTCTGACTTGTTGGACACAGCTTCCTTTGAGAGATTTGGTAGACTCAAATAGGATTTAAGGGGAGAAAAATGATAGTTGGTGTCTTCAGGTTTCTATTGGGGAGTTTCCGGATGTGCTAGTAGTCACTCTTCAGTATATTTTAATCCATTATTTCTAATGTAAAATGAACTCTGAAAAAACATGCTGTACAAAGAATGGCAATTCCTGCATTGTTCAAAAAGTAAAATGTAAACATTAAATTATTTCATTTTTTAAGGAAATTGTACAAAATATAATTAATTAACATTTATGAAACATAGTGTATTTCCGGGAAGATATATGTAACAATAAGTAACTACATTTTTTTTCGTTTTCCTGTTAGATCCACCTGATACTCCTCAAAAACTGAATTGTGAGACATATGATTTAAAAGAGATTGTATGTACGTGGAATCCAGGAAGACCAACAGCGTTGGTGGGCCCACGTGTTACAAGTTATACTTTATTTGAAAGGTAAAGGTCACCAGGAAAAGATGTCAAACTTAAACAGCAAGGAGTACTTTGGAAAGATGTTAAGTGACGTAGGGAAACGCTCCATCTTATTGGTATTATGAGCAAGATATAAAACCAAATATACTGTATAAAATTGGATATACTATAAATACTGCAGTTTGAAATACATGCAGACTCAATTTGTCTCCTTTTTTAAAAAGCCTAGAAGGAAGAACCAACCCTCAAATATGAACAGAGACTATCTCTGGGAAGTGGGCTTATGGCTGATTATTTTCTTCTGTTTTCTGTGTCATATACATTTTCTTCCCTGAATATGTAGTACGTCTATAATTAGACTTGTAAACTTTTGAAAAATATTAATTATTAGAAACTTACCCATCCATTTTTTCATGTACTGTTTATCTCTTGCCATTTTGAAAATATTTTAATATTCCTTATTGCTCTGTTAATTCAGTTTTTCAGGAAAAAATGTTAGATTTAAAAGAACTGAAGCACTCACAAATGAAAGCCATCAGTTACTCTTTCAAATGCTTCCAAATCAAGAAATGTATAATTTTACTTTGAATGCTCACAATCCTCTGGGTCGATCAGAATCAGTGATTTTAGTTAACATAACTGAAAAAGGTAAGCTGCTACATAAACCAGTATCTTAAAAAGTCACTTCAGAAGTGGTGAAATATCTTGAGATGAATGAAAAGTGCTTCTATGGATAACTTTTTACTGATTAGTTTCTTTATAGTTACTTAATATTAATTCTGTAAGTTTTATTTTAAAAGCTTTAAATAGTATAATTTCAAGTGTCACCATTTTATTGAATTCAAATAAAATTTTGAATTATTCATTTACACAGAAACTGTAAGAGGCTTTATCTAATAGCTTTTGATTTCTGAAAATTTTTTTTATATTTTTATTTTTTTATTTTTGCTGAGAAAGATTCACCCTGAGCTAACATCTGTTACCAATCTTCCTCTTTTTTTGCTGAGGACGATTGGCCCTGAGCTAACATCTATGTCGGTCTTCCTCTATTTTGTATGTGGGTTGCCGCCACAGCATGGCCACTGACGAGTGGTGTGGGGCTGCACCCGGGAACCAAACCTGGGCCACCGAAGCAGAGCATGCCGAACTTAACCACTAGGCCACTGGGGTCAGCCCCAGATTCTGAAGAATTTCTTGCCCAATTTTTGAAGACTTTTTATTTTGAAATAATTATAGACTCACAGGTAGCTACAAAAATAATAAATTGGAGCCCTGTGATCCCTTCACCCAACTTTCCCCCATGGTAATATCTGTGTAACTGTAGTACAATATCCAAACGAGGCAGTTGACACTGGTACAGTACTGTGAAGCAGGCTCCTGAACTGGAAGACTGACCTTGCTCAGTTTTCCCCAGTTTTTACAAGCATTCAGTGGTGTGTGTAGTTCTGTGCAACTGGATCCATGTAGAGATTCATGGAACCAGCAACACATCAAGATACAGAACTGTTCTATCGCCACAAAGGAACTTCCTCATGCTGCCCCTTTAGCAACCCCCCGACCCCCACATACACGCTCAGACCCCTGTCCCCAGGCAACACCTAATCTGCTCTTCATCTCTTTCGTTTTGTCATTTTGAGAATGTTATATAAATGGAAATCATACAATATATAACCTTTGGAGGTTGGTGTTTTTTTACTAAGGATAGTGTCCTTGCGATCCATCCAGGGTGTTGTATTTATCAATAAGTAGTTTTTTCCTTTTTATTTCTGATTTCTGAATATTTGCCAGCCGTATTAATATATAGCTCAAAATAGAAATAAAATATGGTCTGTCTTCTTGGCATTCATTCCTGTGGACATTCCATGCGTATTAGCTCCGTGCCAGGCTGTGCATACACAGAACAGTGGCATAGGGACCTTCTCTTAGAGACTCACAGGTCAGAGAGGAAGGGCTTACATCAAATGCCTATATACAGCCTGGCAAGTGATTAGTAGATGATCCTGTTGCCTTGTTTGTAAATATAAGTCACTTTTATCAATTATTCCTTCCCATCATCTTTGTTATTTCCTGATTTTTCCTAAGGTCAGAATGCTAAATTTTCTCCTTGAATGGCAGTGGTTAAATGTATTTGTCTGCCCTCTGCCATTTCAACCTTATTTTCCACATGATTCTTTCCCACCACTCAAATTAGTGTATACGCTATCACCAATGTCATGTGCTCTTTGCTTCCATATACCTTTGTTCTTGCTAAGACCGCAACCTGAAATACTTTTCTGCATCTGTTTTGCCAACTTTAGTCTGATTCTTCCTTCAAAGGTCATGTTAAGTTCCATCTTCACTGAAAGACTCTCGCTACCATGCTTGCATCTAAATTCCTAAAGTGGTTATCTGACCACACATTTAGAACCTAGCATATATACTTTTGTTAATTTTATTTATTTTTTGTTAATCATTCCTCATGTAAATTAGGAGTTCCTTAAAGGTAGAGACTATGCTCTGACTACTTTTTAGTGTTCCCAATACCAGTTGAGGAACCTTGAGCATGGTTGGTTCTTAAAAAAATATTGGCATGATGTCAGCAGTAAAAGTGAGGTTTGTGTATTCCGCGGATACTGGGTAGAATATTGTTGATCAGCACTGATGATTACTCTCTTGTTTTTTATTTTCTTTGATTCTCATTTGTCATATTAGAAAATAGCTTTTAAAGTAATTAATCTTTAAAAATTATATTTACAGTTTGTCCCCATAGTCCTACTTCAATCAAAGTGAAGGATATTAATTCAACAGCTGTTGCACTTTCCTGGCGTTTACCAGGCAACTTTGCAAAGATTAAATTTTTATGTCAAATTGAAATTAATAAAACTAATTCAATACAAGAATTGGTGAGTAGAATTCTTCTATAAACTTCTTTTGAGGTTATTTTAGATAAAATACTTAGTTTTCAAAAAGAATTAAGTAATTGATATGCATAAGCTCTCAGATTATTATAGAGATTTACTAAGAACGAAAACGTTCTATATCAATGTAATAACAGCATTAGATGAAAACAGTTATAATACTGGATATCACAGAACGTGAGTTTGACTTTTACTACTCAGAATGTTTCCAGGTCTAGTATAGTACCTGGCACGTAGCTGGTGCTCAATAAATTTGTGAATGAATGAGGAGTTACTGCTGTAACCTTTAGCATCAGTTAATGGACTAATCAGCACTGGGGAAAAGATGTGGTTTTTAAAACTGCCAAGTGCAGCAGTAGGAGCAAGTTATAATTGGTCTTTATAAGTCAAAACATGACTTGCTAGTACATTTTAAATACTTAGGTTGACTTTTATACTGTACCATCTTGTAATTTGTGGTAAGTCCAAAATAAATGATATTGTACTTAAATATTCATTTGGAAACTTACTGATGATTTCTAGAAAATCAGTCACACTACAAAATGTAACCTGAAAAGCTCCTTTGTAATTAGTAATTGGGAGTTCAGAGGCTTTTCTGAAGCATGCAAATCCTCAAATTTGTTTAGAATCCTTTCATTTTAATTTTATTTAGTTTAAATAAGTATTTGTTGAATATTCTGCATGTTTAGCACCATACTAGAGGTTCAAAGTGCCATGTAAAAAAAGATGCACAAGACAATGCCTGCCTCCAAGAAGCTTCCAGATATCATCTGAATAATTTATTTAATCCTCAGGGTCATCTTAGATTGCTAAATTGAATTCAAGTTTATTGCATTACCATTCAAGTTTATTGCATTACCGTTAGCCATTGACAGATTATCAAAATTTATATCATACTCTCTGCATAATTTAATTGATCATTATTACTTAGATCCAATATTTGGATTAAAAAGACACCTAAATTTTGTTTATTGCTATTGCAGAACATAGTTTCACTGATTTGGCATTTATATAAAAATTAAAATATTGTAGTGGCTGAACTATCTTTGGTCTTATAGAGGCAGTCTCACATGGACATTTAGTCAATTAATGTTACAAATTTGAGTGACTTTCTTACCAAAAAAATGTGTTTGTATGTGTATATATGTATTCATCCACACATGACATTACATTACATATATAGACCCATATTTGTTTGTTTGTTTTCTAATAGCGGAACGTCACAATCAAAGGAGTAGAAAATTCAAGTTATTTCGTTGCTGTGGACAAGTTAAATCCATATACTATATATACTTTTCGGATTCGTTGTTCTACTGAAACTTTCTGGAAATGGAGCAAATGGAGCAATGAAAAACAATATTTAACCACAGAAGCTAGTATGTTAACTAAATGACTTATGGCTAGTTATTACTGTGGATCCTGAAATCTTACAACTTTTTTTTAAAGAAAATGTCACCAAAGTGACTAAAAATAGGAGAATGCTTAGATAAATACTGTATAACATCTGCTCGTAAAATATCATATAGACATTTTGAATGATGGTTTTTAAAGTTCTGTGATGATATGGAAGAATGCTTGGCATGTGTTGTGTGAAAGGACTAGGCTCCCCTGTCTACAGTATGACTGCAGCTATATTAAAGTGATGCATAGGAAACCAAACTTGAAACTGTGGTAAGATTATGGGGTGATTTTTCTCACACTCTTTCCTCCTTTTCCTGGAATTTTAATAATCTATTTAGATTGCCTTTTTATTGCAAACAGTTATTAAAGAGAAAATGAATGGGACTAAAAGGTCTTGAGCTTTCGTTTCTGTAGTACACCTAGGTCAAAATAGGTATAAAATTAGCCAGCTGGGTTTCTGAGGATGATAATTTCCAAAGACAGAATGAGATTCTATCCTTGATTAATCAGATGCCAGCTTTAAAAACAGAAAACTTAGAAATAGGTATAATTTTCAGGAATCCTTCAACAAAAGATAGCAAAAGCTTTATTTGCACTATATAATATAGGGAATGTAAAATTTTTCCCCCAAAATTAACAAACAGTAAAACAAAAAGTAATAGATATTAATCCAGATTTTCTCTCTCCATGCAAAGGCTAGAGAGATGAGAGGAGCTTTTACAATATGTATAAGAATTATTTGGATCATCAAAAATGAATCCTATCCATGATTCCAGAGAGAATGTGTTAGTTATCTATTGCTACATGGAAATTATCCTAAAACCCAGTGGCTTAAAATAGCAAACATGTATTATCTCACAATATCTGTGGGTCAGAAATTCAGGAGCAGCTTAGCTGAGTGGCTCTGGCTTAGAGTCTCTCGTGAGGCTAGAGTTATCACATGGGTGGGACTGCAGGCTTGATTGAGGCTAGAGGATCTGCTTCAAGATGGTTCACTCAGGTGGCTATTGGCAGGAGGCCTCAGTTCCTCACTGTGTGGGCCTCTCCATAGAGCTGCTGGAGAGTTGATGACATGGCAGCCAGCTCCTCCCAGACTTAGTGATCAAACAGAGAACAAGGCAGCCTCCACAATGTCTTTTATGATCTAGCCTCAGAAAGGGACATACCATCACACGTGCCTTCCCATATGGGTCACACAGGCCAGTGCTGATACAGTGTGGGCAAGGACCACACAAGGGTATGAATATCAGGGGGCATGAACAATATCATTGGTCATTTGGAGACTGGCTACCTCAGGAGCTTTTGCCTTCAGTGGATGAGCTGTTGTTGCCAAGAGGAAACATTTTATTTATACCTCATTCAGATGAAGGCATTAATTCACTTAACAAATACTGGTTGAGTAGCCACCATGTGTCAGGAATTGTTCTAGTCATGAGGCATTTAGCAGTGAATAAAACAGCGAGCTCTGCCCATGGAGTTTATAGGACAGAGGATTAGAAATGAGTTTCTAAAAATATGTAATAGTATGTTGGGTGGTTGTGAGTGCTTCAAAGAAAAATAAAAATAAACCCTAGAAAGGGGGCTAGGGCATGAAAGCCAGGTGGTGGGGATAGCGGTTGTAATTTTATTTTATTTTATTTTATTTTATTTTATTTTTTTTAATTTTTTGTTTATTGCAGTAACATTGGTTTATAACATTGTAAAAATTTCAGGTGTACATCATTGTTGTAATTTTAAATAGGGTCGCTGGGAAGGCCCCCCAATGAGGTGACACTGGCGCTGAGTATAGAGGAGGTGAGGAAGCAGGCCACATGGTCAGGTCGGGGGAGGAGAGTTCTCCACAGAGGGAGAGACGGTGTAGGATGCACAGAAAGCCTGAGGCAGTGTCCTCAGCGTGTTGGAGGAGCCAAGTGTGTGGCCAGAGCCAGCTTGAGTCAGGGGAGCTGGGAGGATGTGAGGCAGAGCGGCACCCAGGGGGCCGTCACTGACGGCCTTGAGGGTGGTCCTGACCCATTCTAACGGGCCTCGTGTTTTGTCGACATTGAGAGCTCAGCTTCGTTGGAGGATCCTGAACTGCTTCACATTTTTCTTAAGAATTCCAAACACCTAGAAAAAAATTTCAAGCACCGCCATCTCAATTATCGATATTATCAACTGATATATAGTACACATCTTCAATTGCTAACTTTTAAATCTCTTTCCTAGTTCCTTCAAAGGGACCAGATACTTGGAGAGAGTGGAGTTCTGATGGAAAAAATTTAATAATCTATTGGAAGGTAAATATCTAATTTTTCCTTGAATATTTAAATAACTGTATTGTGCTGAACTAGTTAACTTACACATGGTACTTGGCTTATCCAGGAGCTTGGGTTCCCCAGACTGGCTTAGTTGGCAGTACTGCCGAGAATCTAACCTGGCTCCTAAACCTGCAGATCCCTCATCACTGCTGATTCCCCACCGTCACTCAGTGAGGATCTTGTCTCAGATCTGAGCGTTCTTTAGTTTGGTTTTATGAGGCCTGTGAAGGACCTGAGGATTTCACAAATTCTATCTGTTTCACTTTAGAAACACAGCCAGAAGCTACAAGTTAAAATCCCAAGTGTTGATGTTCCATTTTTCTTGGATGCATAGAAAACTAACTTTTTATATATTTCATATATAATTTGTTTCTCTTAAATAAATTATATTATAATATTCTAATTATAAAGTTTTGCATGGTTTTGTAAAATTTTTAGATAAAATAGGTGCATTGCATTATGTTTTTAGTAGTTTTTCTCTACTAGAGCAAACATTTTTGTTGCTATATTCTTTATCTGATTTGTGAACATCGAAAACACATACAGTTGTTTTCTACATCAGATTTTGTAAGAGCAGTCCTAATCGGAGTCCTTTAAAGAGTGAACTTTGTTATTGAAAGTAAAACATAATTTTATTTTTTGCATAAATAGAGCTTTGAGTAAAGTGAGGTCAGTGTGCAAGTTCAGTGTAGGTTCCGTTGCTTTGCAATCGTCTGAGCAGGACTGCAGTCCCTCTTCCTCGTGGTTAGAGAATCCCCGGCCTGCTCTCAGTCATCAGTCAGATTTCATGATTATATAGTAACAGTTATACAGGTACTTCAGTGTAGGGAAGGTCTGGAATATTGTTCAAACTAGATGAATGTTTAACCAAGGATTAAAAGTATTAAAGTGATTCAGATTCTGACTTCAGTGACTAGGTTGATGGTACTGCCGTTTGCCAAGGAGGAGCGTATTTGGGTGGAAAACTAAGTTGTTTTGGACACGTTGAACTTTTTAAACGTGTGAAGTCCAGTAGGTGGTGGTTTGGTATAAGGCCTGGAGTTCAGGGGAGAGGTCAGGGCTAAAGACGGAGCTTTGAGTAGCATATAAACGAGGTCACTTGGGAGACTGCAGGGGGAAAAGAGGCCAGGGGTAGGACCCTAGGTGACAGCAGCATGTAAAGGACCAGCAAAGGAGGAGGATCCAGAGAGGAGATTGGGAAGGTTAGAGGGGCAGGAAGACCCGAAGAAAATAGAATTGCAGAAGCCAAGGGAGGGGGTTGTGTGAAGGAGTGGTCAGCAGTCAAATGAAGGCCACAAGTCTTAGGACAATAACGTGTCCACTGGAATAGGCCATTGGAGAGTTATTGGGGACCTGGCCGGAGCAGTGTCTTCAGCAGAGTATTAGTATCAGTGTCAGTGTAGATCAGAGGGTCCCATGCATGGCCGTATAAATTGGAGCAATTGTTTTGAGAAACAGTTTAGCTACATAAACAGAGAAATTTGAACGCTTATTTCCTTTTATCCAGCAAGTCCACTTTGGGAATTCGTATTAAAGAATTATCCTAACTATGAAAAAGGAAAAAGAAATGTGGCACCAAAAGGTTCACCAAAATATTATTTTAATATTGTGAAAAATGGGAACAACTTAAATTTCATTTTTTTAAGGAATATTCAAGTAAACTGGTAAAAATACTACCTGAAATATAAAACCATTAAAATATATATAACTGTATCATCATGGACAAGTGTGTATTGGGAAAAGTGAAAAGAAGATATAAAATTGTATAGTATGATTAAAACAATGTTAATAAAAAATCTACACCTAAAAAAACAACTTGAAGAAAATATCAAAATGTAAGAGTATTTAAGAGATGGAAATATGGGAGCTTTTTCCTTGTTTTCTTTCAACTTTTATATATTTTCCAAGTTTTCTGTAATGGACATGTACTGCTTTAAAATGAGAAAACAATAAATGTTTAAAATAAACTTTGATGCCATAATTTTTTATGTTTTGTGTGTTTTTAAGTAGAGCACTGCTTCTCATCACTCTTTTTTGTTTGCTTCTGAAAAATGTGAGGCTAAATATTGTTTTGTACTTAACTTTTAAATTTCTGAGTTCTTACTACTTACAAGTATAGTTTTTCTTTAGTATCACTCCCTGATTTATCCAGGTCTCAGTGGATTTTAAATCTGTGTTTTACACTGTTAACAACTTCATCTTTCCTTGTTTTGATCAGTGTGATATACAGTTTAGATTTGATAGTCTTGCCTTGTTACATAGTCACTTACTGCAGGTTTTTATAACAGAATTAATTTTCTGTTTCTCATAGCCTTTACCCGTTAATGAAGCTAATGGAAAAATACTTTCCTATAATGTATCTTGTTCATCAGATGAGGAAACACAGTCCCTTTCTGAGATTCCTGATCCTCAACACAAGGCAGAACTACAACTTGATAAAAATGACTACATCATCAGTGTGGTGGCAAAAAATTCTGTTGGCTCATCGCCACCTTCAAAAATAGCTAGTATGGAAATTCCAAATGGTGAGTACTTAAGATAAAGTAGTATATAGGAAGAGGAAATTAAAGTGAAACATTTTGAAGGTGTGGCTTGCTCTTACGTACATCAGCTTTCTTCTCATATCCCCTGCTGCTAATATATAAGGAGGAACAGGCAGATTAATGTTGAATATTCGTTGAGAGACAGCAATCATAAGTATTGACTTGAAGTATCTGTTGAGGGATAAAATAATTACCATATCCAGTTATTTTAATGTATAATGTTGGAGAGTTGTGGTGGTGGATGTTACTCTTAGGAAGAAATATTTGAATAGTTATTCAGATATTGTTTTTATATATCTCTCCAAGACCAAGAAAGTTGATGCTTATGTCAGCTATTTTATAGACTATTTTATAAACTGTCAAGCAGGAAAAAGGACTCATTTTAAATTGCAGCTTTGTTGATAAGACATTATTTATTAATGGGGGTCCTTTACTGATAAGAAATTCTTCTTAAAGTCTAAATTAGATCTTCAATATAAGTTTAAAAAATGACCGTGGTGTAATTTTCAAGTTCCTTAATGGCTTCCTTTAAGTCTTACGGATTACCAGGGATGAGTCCATTGCTCCTTAGCTGCCTTGACAGCTTTTTGAGTCACGAGTTTTAAACAACCCCTCCTGCCTCTTCTCCCAGTTCCAAGTCCCTTTTCCAAGTCATTCCCTGATCCCCCCTTTGCTGTCCTGTCCCAGTTTGGAGCACCTTTCTATGACCACCCATTCCTAGAGGAAGAAAAGTTGGTCCAGTTAGGATCCTCCAAGTATCTTTTCAACTCTTGTTTGAGGCTGCGTCCTGTTGCTTGTTACTTACCTGGTTCTTTGCTTTGGTTCATTCGGCCACAGTGGGATTAGGAGGAAGGAATGGGGAAGGCACAACGCATTTCAGAGGCACAGGACACAGAGCCCAGATGGCAGCACACACCGGGGAGCAGAGGTCCTCAGGCAGTGTTGCGGGGGCAAAAAAAAGAGAGAGAGATGTGTGAACACCCGTAAGAAGATAACCGACTCATTTTGATGATATATTTCACTGCTCTCACAGTGATAGGAATAGCTATGTTGTGTTTTAATTCAAGAACTATATTCCTGCCTTTTCCATGTGTCCCTCAGAAGACAGTAATTTACAGAACTAACAAGGGTTAGTCATCAGCTTTCAGACAGTTTGAAGCCCCAGAACAAATCATTGTTCCTTGAGGATTTCCTGAGGTGGAGGCCTGCGACCTCAGAGCAGGTTTATATTGTGGATTTTTAATCACATTGAGCCAAAAAGCTGTTATGTCCAAAGTCCTCTGTATTCTAAGCCAAATTGTTGGCTTATGTTCAGTAGGTAGTTGCTTTATGAATGCAAATTTTGTTCAACAAAACCTTCCTGTGGCTTTTTCCTGAAAATATAAATATAAATTTATATTTATAATATGTATATAATGGTTATATAAAATATAAATCAGTTACAGAAATTACTTCTCTTCTCCTATTACTGTGGGAAATTTCCCTCTCTCTTTTGGCCACACTCTCCTAACCCACTGAGTCCTCACCCCCAGCCTTGGGCCCCCTTGTCACCTCGGCCAGATCTGGCAGGATGGGGAAACGAAACCTCACCACAGCCCCTTATGCCAGCTCTCGCCCCTCCACACCCCAGGGGTCCTGTTTCTGCTTTTTTTCTCTGTGCCCACACTGGCCACCCGATCCCACAGCTTTTGATCCCACTGCATTTCAGCAGATTCCCCTCTCCCTGCTGTGTCTCCAGAATCCCTTCAGCCCACCCATGGGGTAGCAGTCTTCCTTGAAAGGAAGAGAGGGGCTGCTTCATCCGTTCACTCATTGTGTGTCACTGTAGTCCTGCTCTGTGCCAGGGGCTGGTGTTGCAGGCACCTGTGAGCACGGAGCTCCTGGTGGATGATGAGAGGAGGGGTTCACGCTGTCCCCTCGTGCTCTGCACCAGCCGCCACCTGCCTCCCTCCCTGCGCTGCCACATCCCCTCAGCCCCATCCTCATGGCCCTTGAGCCTCGGGTCCTGGCCCTGCTCGTCACTGCCTGAGTCTGGGTGCTTTTTTATTCCTTCTTTCCAGCTGCTGAGTTTATGTGTATAGGGAATTGGTATAGTTGCAACAACAGTAACAGAGCAGCACTTCTAAACTTTGCTAAAGGTTTATCTAGTTTGAGCAGTTTTTTGAAGTTTCTGTACAGTAAAGTAATTTTTGTAACTCCTGCCCATTTTCATGTGATTTACCTTATGTTATTGTTTTTAATGTGAGTAAAATACCCTTCTTTCTTGTTGAAGATGATCTCAAAATAGAGCAGGCTGTTGGAATGGGAAATGGGATTCTGCTCAGTTGGAATTACGACCCCAACATGACTTGTGACTATGTGATTAAATGGTGCAATTCATCTCGGTCTGAACCCTGCCTTATGGACTGGAAAAAAGTGCCTTCAAACAGCACTGAAACTGTCATAGAATCTGGTAAGATGAGTTACTGTCTCTCCATTAAAGTTCTTAGAAGTATTTTTAATCAGAGCAACACATGGTGGGACTGGGTGCAACAGAGTGATCATTCTCCCTTACCTCTAGAGGGAGTGTAAATCAGTTTAACTTTTCTAGAAGGTGGTTTGGGGCAGTGTGTATGTGAAAGGATTCATGTTCTTTGATCTAGTAATTGCTCTAGGAATTTATTCTAAGAAATAATCAGAGAGCAACACAGGTTTACATCTAAGAATGTTCACCATGGCATTATTTATAATCGTAAAAATTGAAAACAACCCAAATAGGAAAATGAGTAAATTATTGTAGATCAATAAAATGGAAGGTTAAGTAGCGTTAACAGTTGTGTTGAAGATTTAACAACATGGGAAAATGCTCGTGAAGAAAGAAGACTCCAACGCTGTAAGCAGTATGGCCTCCTCATCGTCCTCCTGCCTTTGTTTGCCCAGGCTCCAGGTTACTGAGGTTAGGGAGAGACCGAGCACAAAGGGCCTGCACCCATGACCACTGTCCCTGCTGCAGGATGAGAGGGCATCAGTGTGGCAGTGGGCCCTGTGTGGTCAGTGCCTGACCGCTAACCAGCCCTGAGCCTCGTGAGACAAGTTGCCCCTGATACGATGCAGCCTGAAGTTCAGCCACGAGGGGTGCTTGGTAACCTACAGGCTGAACCCGCCTTGTCCTTTGGCATTATAGCCCTCTTTCCACTGCCATTGCTCCTTCTGAGAGGCTGATAAGAGTGTTCTGTGCCTCTACCCTTGGGAATTCTGGAACTTGCAGCCTGCTGGTAGTGAATGCTTCTTGAGGTCATTCCCTTCTCATGGTTCTCTCTCGCGTGTTCCTGAAGTTCAGGAGAGTGAGCAGCTGCTGATTCCTTCTCTCCCAGGGAATGAGTTCTACTCATTTACTTTGTCACTATGAAATGGTAAAGATGAGTTCCATTCACTACTAGATTACTACATGTGGGTTTTTAGATTATTTTCCAGTCCTACTTGAAATACAGCCAAACTCCTTCACATGGGTAATTGGTCAAGGCAGTGGTCGTTCCCGTTATCCTTTCTTACAGTGTGCGTCACCCTCAGCGTGCCCACCCACCTCACCCTCCTCTTTCCTGCACCTCCCCTTGCTTTTCCCCACACGTAGCTGCCTGAGCATTTCACAGTTCTGGTGTACTCCATATAAATTCTAACTCCTCTGCCATGCTTTCCCACCCGGACTTTGAGGATAATCAGGATAGACTGTGGCAGGGGGAAGTGATGTAGAGAGGCATCTTGTCTCCTTAGATAGAGTATCGGGGATAAGTTTAAGCTGAGACCTGTAGGGTGAGAAGGAGAACTTTCCATGCTGAGGCAGAGAGCAAAGGCCCTACAGTGGTTGAGAAAAGAAAGGCTCAGAGAAGTTAGGTAACTGGCCCAAGGTGACAAAACTAGTATGTGATAGCGCCAGGATTAAAATGCAGAGCAATTCAGAGCTCCAAGAGGCTGGAGATTTTGTCTGTTATTTACTGCTGCGAGAACAGTGTGTGGGCATAGCAGGTCCTTCTCGTATTCCCTTCTCCTCCGGTCACCTGCTCATTCAACTATCCTCCCTCTTTTATGACCTCAAAACACCCTCCTTGTTCTCTAACCCACTCAGGCTCTTTTTCTTTTTAAGATAGTAGAACCCTGTAGAATATTGATATACATAATTATAACATAAAACTGGATACAGATTTCCTAATGTACATGCAGTTAAAACCATAACCTCAGGCATGCCTGTCCCCTAAGAAAAAAGTTACAAAATGATTTTAGAGTTTGATCATCTCATTTTTGACGTGTAGACCAGTGGTGTCCTGCGGGCACGTAATTGGAGAGCTCGTGTTTTAACCACACTAGAATAGTTGCTTTCCACAAATTAAATGCAATCCCTTGTGCTGTCATTTTTCCCCCAAGCAGTATCTTCCTTCTAGACCATGACTGATGAGCTCCTAATTGCCTTTCAAGGCCCTGTTCAGATGTCACTTCGTGGTGGCTTTTTCTGATCTTCTTAGACTCATTTGGTTCCGCGTTGAAGGTGCCACAGCCTATGATAGGTCCCTCTACTCTGTGTCGTGGTTCCCCCAGTTCATCTGTCTCCCTTCAACTCTGCCAGCTTCTCCAGGCCAGAGGCCTTGCTATGCCCACCACTCTGTTCCCAGCATTTCACATGTTGCATTGTTTTGAGGAGGCATTTAAAAGGGGCTTTTTGAATTGAAGTTAAGGTGCTTCTCTTGTATGTCTTGTGGAGTTAATTCAAGGGCACTAAATGGCAATGCTATAAAGAGGAACAGACTCTAAGCTCTCCTTCCCTTCACACTAAAGCATCAAGGTGGAATGGAAATGTTAGTATCTGCTTCTTGGAGCAAGGGGAGAACAGTGGTTTCTTTCCAATCCAGAAATAACACTATTTAGGGAACGGCTTTTCAGAGGCTTGATGTGGACCTGGGATAGGTTAGTAATCTGTGGACCAAATCTGGGAAGAAGTCACCATTGGTTGAGTTTAAGGAACAAAATGAAAACCTTGGTCACCATTTTTTTCCCTTCAAGGTAATGTCGTCTTATAATACTAAACTTTTCATTACAATACAAGTGAATTTGTTTAATTTTTGTTTAGTCAGTTTTCACTCTGAATATTTACTAATTTTGAAAATGTGTGTATTTTTATAAGAAAACACCTGTTTAAAATTACCTTTGGAGGGCCGGCCCCGTGGCTTAGCGGTTAAGTGCGTGCGCTCCGCTGCTGGCGGCCTGGGTTCGGATCCCGGGCGCGCACCAACACACTGCTTCTCTGGCCATGCTGAGGCCGCGTCCCACATACAGCAACTAAAAGGATGTGCAGCTATGACATACAACTATGTACTGGGGCTTTGGGGGAAAAATAAATAAATAAAATCTTTAAAAAAAAAAAAAAAAAAAAAAAAAATTACCTTTGGAAATTTCAGAATAAGTTATGATAAATTTGATATTTCTAAAATAGATATGCATAGTAATATGTATGGGAAAGTTTACTGATTGTGTTTATCCTATAGATCAGTTTCGACCAGGTGTAAGATATCATTTTTTCCTGTATGGGTGCAGAAATCAAGGATATCAGTTATTACGTTCTGTAATTGGATATATAGAAGAATTGGGTAAGTTAAATGGGTACGTTTTCTTAGAGTTCAGGTAACATGAGGAATTATAAATCGACAACAATTGTGAGATTGACTTCTAAAAATAAATTGAATTGAGATGTTGAGTTCACGGAAGGAAAAGTAATTTGTATGATAAATTTAAAATTATTTAAGATTACTTATTCTTACTCCGTTTGTTTAGTGTTTATATTTCACAATTTTACTATTGTCATTGAGAAAATTAAATCTTAATTTGGATGTCAAAATACTTAATTTGCACTTATACAAGTTTAAATAACTAGTAACTTATTCAAGATGATCAATAAAGAGGGGAAATAGAAATGAAATCTATTTGAACAGCCACTTAAAGATTTTGCGTAGGTTTCTTCCCTAGATATGTAGTTTGTCTAAAAGTTGTAAGTTCTACCTTTGTGTCTCTAGTTATTAGCATATAAGCTTCGCAGCAAAAGTGTTTGTTATAAATCTCTGCAAGTTTACAGTTTAATAGAGAAAAAAGTTCTAATTCCAAGTTGAGCTGTTTTTGAGGCTAGAAACCTCATTAAACATTGACATCTTCCTCTGCGTTAGTCAACTCTCCTTAGCTGTTGACTTTTTCCTTTTACAGCTCCAATCGTTGCACCAAATTTTACTGTTGAGGACACGTCTGCAGATTCCATATTGGTAAAGTGGGAGGATATTCCTGTGGAAGAGCTCAGAGGCTTTTTAAGAGGGTATTTATTTTACTTCGAAAAAGGAGAGAGAGACACATCTAGGATGAGGAGTTTGGAATCAGGTAAGTAAATTACTAGAGTGAGAGTAATATTTCTTAGAAGTTCTTCATTAGCCACGAAAAGAAAAAAAGAAAAGAAAGTGCTGCTGAATAGTTTAGTATTTGTTTCCAAAACTGAAAAAGTGGGAAACGAAAATGCATGAGTATGAGAATTTCAAGACTTGAGTATGTGATAAATGACATGTATGGTCTTTCAGAAATCATTTAAATCATTTATTCTGAAGCCTTTGATTATAAGCCCCATAGGACGGAGACAATCTCTTACTATAAGTCTTACATGATCTGTAATAGCATCTTATGAAGGTTACTTAAAAAAAAAAGTCTTCCTATACGTATAATAATGGAGGAGAAAAACTCAGAAACTCGAAGAATGGCTTTGGAGCCTCCGTTGTTAACTGACAAAGAGCCATCCGCACAGTTAGCCACGGCCTTAATGAGCGGGGAAGCTTAATTGACTTAACTGGGGATGTGTGTATCCATTAGATCTTAAAAAGTACAGTCAATCCTTGACAGTTGGTAAGTGTATGTCCAAAGACTTTAGAGAATTCTCAGATTTACAAATATAAAAATGTTTATGCAGACTTCTGGCTTTTCCCTAAATTATATTTCTGTTCAGTCAGATGTTTCTTTATTCATAGCTGCATAACACAAGCATATCATCTTGTCAATTTGAGAGCTTTCATTTCCCTTAATGACTACTCCTTGGAAAGAAACCATTTTAATTATTTAGTGCCTGTCTGACAAGTAGAGAACAACAGTGCTGCGTGGAGATGCTGACTGGGCGTTAGCTAAGTCACTTTCCGAGAGCAGCTGCGTTAAATGTGTGCCTCCTCCAGATCACTAAGGTCTGCATTTCCTGAACCTTCAGAGTTGCCTCTGGATGAGGGAAACCCTAAATATCAAATTCTACAAAATTTGATAGAGTCTAGTGTAGTTTTCCTCACATGCTCAGAAATTTTGCACTTGAACCAGTTAAAATTCTAACATCTAAAACTTCCAGTTAGACATGGTGGATTGGTCACTAAAATTAGAGAAAAAGAAAGAGAGAGAGAAAAAAAAAATGTGTAAAGCCACAAAAACAAAAAGAAGTGGAGAGGCAAGGGTACACTAAACAGAGGATTTGAATGTTTAGGGCTGGTGGGGCAAATGGCCTAGAGAAGGGGAGCGTGGTGAAACCTAGGTGGCCCGTCGTGCATCAGTGAGAAGTAATTTGATTCATCCTACAGGGCCAGATATTGGAGGCAGATGGTTAGGGTGAATCAGGGCTGAACAGCGGAGGTTGATTGAAAGTCTGTGTAAGGAGCAATTAGGATCTCCAAGTCCTACACCAGCTTCATGCAGCTGATGTGAGTCCCCTCTCCCCTGCCTAAAGACGAGAGGGTTATTTTTTGGAGAAACTGACCCAGAGAGCCTCTAGACAGAGGGACACCATTGTAAATGGTGTGACCTTCCCTCTTTCTCCTTCCCACCCAGCTAATAGAACGTCTTCAGCTAGGCCTATTTCCCCAGACAGGAGATTAGAGGATCTTTCTTTGGAAGAAGTAAATGGTGTCTGGGGAAAGACATCAAAGATGCTGATATTTGAGGGATTGTCCCAGTGAAAAGCCAGGAACTGACCTGGTCCTTCCCCACCAGTGATAAGTGAAGCCCACCAACCAATGAACCCCACCCATGCACTCTGAGCTTCCAGCGAGCCTGTTAGTGGCCCAGTCTTAAACATGAGTAGCAGCTAGGGGTAACCAGATGGTTAAGAAAGCTTCTAATGTGAAAGACAGAAACCAGAAAAAATCAGAGGAAACATTCAGTGTGGGGAAACAGAAATTTAAAACAAAACTCTCCTTGGATAGTCGAGCTATACTGGTATTTATTGAAAAGACATGATGCTATAAAAAGGAACAATCACAGACAGATAAGCACTTCTCAAGACCTGCACTATCACGCTTTATAGGAGTTCTGTCAAGAGAGAAGAGTGAAACGGAGAGAAGGAAATTATCAAAGAAATAGCATAAGGAAATTTCCTGGAACTGAAAGACCTGAGCATAGAGAGTAAAAGGACCCATTCAGTACATAGTAAAATAAATAGAAAAAAGATCTGTGCCAAGCTATGTCATCATCGATTTTCAGAGCATCTAATGTATAAAGACAAAGTCCCAGGAACAATTAGAGAAAAGCAGCTCATGCGCAAGGGATCAGCAGTAAGAATGGCAGCAGACTTCTTAGCAACACACCAGATACTAGAAGATGTCATAGCTATGTCTGCAAAATACTGAGTGAAAATTATTTTCAACCTAAAATTCTATGCTCTGCCAATCCGTCAACCAATACGAGAGTAGAATTTGTAGATACACGAGGCTGCAGATATTTCCTTCACCCGTGCACCCTCCCTCAGCATGAGGAAATAGTGGGACGGGGAGTTCCAGCATGGCTGCAGCCGAGAAGGCTTCCAGTCTAGAGCAGATGCTCCAGGGAAGGTGGCCCCTGGGAGGGAAGAGGGCCAGGGGTTAGGGGAGGGCAATGGCCCTGGGATTTTGTTGTGTTGGACCATGTGGAAAATGGTATTGAAGGTTCTTTGGAGGATGTGGAAGAATTAGGAATTGGTCCATCAAGCCAATGAGGAAAAAAAGCAGTTATAACAACAGACAGACAAGAAAGGAAACATAATTGATCATACCAAGCAATTCGTCTTTGCAGTAATCCATGTTTATATGATCACAATGTCAACACTGAATTTATCAAATGTTCGATGTTTCTATACAAATGATGTGGGTTGTGGGGGAGAAGGGGTAGTGGTAGTGTGAGAGAGCTAAGTCTTCATCTGCCTTGTAGGACATGAGTAGATAGTATCTAAAATTGAAAAATCAAGGACTGTCAATCTAAGTGTATTTCAAAATATGGAAGTAAATACCCAAAGAAACTGATAACACGATTTTAAAGTGGTTGTGGGTGGTAGAGGAAGGTTCAGGAGGGAACTGCTACTTTTTGTTATTAGCCATTTAGTGCAAGTTAATTTTTTAAACTATCTTCTTGCATTGTTATGGTTAAATTGTTAAAAATAATGGTTTAGGGGCCAGCCCGGTGGCTTAGCGGTTAAGTTCATGTGCTCTGCTTCGGCAACCTGGGGTTTGCGGGTTTGGATCCCGGGCATGGACCTACACACCACTCATCAAGCCATGCTATGGCAGTGTCCCACATACAAAATAGAGGAAGATTGGCACAGATGTTAGCTCAGGGCCCAGTCTTCCTCACACACACAAAATAATAATAAAAATGGTTTAAACAATTGTTCACACTTTCTTTTGAGATGGTTCAAAGGCTTCCTCACTAGTGGCTCTTGTGAGAGCTCAGGTACACTGCCTCTTTTCCTGAGTCGTTTGACGTAATCTGTGTTGATTTGTACTCTTGTTCCCTGGAGTCTCTCAACTCATAGACAGGAGCAGCCCACGGGACAGCGTCCCCCGCCTGGTGGGGTTGGCTTGTGGTGGTTTTTCATGCTCTTAGTAACCGGAAGAGAAGTGAGTTTAGTTGATTGCCTGCTCTATAGCAGACATTATTCTAGAGAATGTGTATGAGAACTTCATAGAGCCCTGTGAGGTCAGGTCATGATATTCTGTTTCATAGTTAGAGACGCTCAGGTTCAGAGTGGTGTAAATAATAGGTCCAGATCACATAGCTACTGACTGGCAGAGGTACAACTTGAACATGGCCCTGGCCAGCTCCACAGGCTTTGGCCCTGGAAATGGCCAGCAACTGGACTCACTCAAAAAGGACGTGCTTGTGCAAAGTGTGAGTTACCGTGTGTTTAAAATGGTGTAGAGATCAGTAATAATATTCTTCACTTTAAAAATAGGTCGCTCTGATATAAAGGTGAAGAATATTACTGACATATCCCAGAAAACACTGAGAATTGCTGATCTTCAAGGTAAAACAAGTTACCATCTGGTCTTGCGAGCCTATACGGATGGTGGAATGGGCCCAGAGAAGAGCATGTTTGTGGTGACAAAGGAAAATTGTAAGTTAAATATTGCCATTGAGATGCTTTCTGTACTTAAATGCGTAGTGTTTCTAGCAATTTTTGTTTATGTAAGAACCTCGCTTTTTTAAAATTTCACATTTTGTTGCATTTTTATAGTGGGTAGAGGGCAGTGTTAAAAGGCCATGGATGACTTCATATTAATTCTTGTCAGTTATGTGAAGCTATTTCCTAAAGAGTACCTAAGAAATTAATGAATTAAGGATCCATCTGAAGTCTACAGTTCTAAATTCCTGTTGAATTTATATAATGGTCAACCAGTTTAAAATTTTTTGCCCTAATTATTCTTAATGTGATTTTTAACATATCCAGGAGAGAATGAAAGAAATATCCTTAAAAAAAAATGTGTTAAGTACACATTTTTACACTTGTAAACCTGAGATGGAAAGTAAAGAAGAGGATGGACTTGACTGTCAACAGCAAAGAACTTGAATTTGATCACAGGCTTATTCTCTAGCCCTGAGTTGGAGTTTGTGCACAGCCCTTAAATAAAAGACCGTGAGGATCTAGTTCTCAACTGGGGGCAGTTTTTGCCTCCTGGGGGACACTTGGCAGTACCTGGCAACATTTTTGGTTGTCATAACTGGGGGGTGCTACTGTGATCTAGTGGTTAGAGGCCCAGGGATGTTGCTAAACTTTCTGCAGTGCACACGCAGCCTCCTCTCCAGACACACACTGAAGAAATATCTGGCCTAAAATGTCAATATGCCAAGATTGAGAAACCTTTCTCTAAAGAATTTAGGTATTAGTATAACAAAGTTTTAAATACTTAAAGGTTATATTTTAATAGTTTTTCAGTGTCCTTGGAATAGTTACGATTTTTTTTTCTTCAAATAATCTACCAACTTGAATATCTTCTAATATGAATTTATTCTATACTTAGTACTAAAAATGGTGATTTTAATGTTTGCAATATTCTCTTTTCAGCTGTGGGATTAATTATTGCCATTCTCATCCCAGTGGCAGTGGCTGTCATTGTTGGAGTGGTAACGAGTATCCTTTGCTATCGGAAACGAGAATGGTAATGGTATCTGCATTTACTCGTGTTGTTTTGTTCTTAAGGGCATGATTATTTAGTTTATGTGTCAACAAATAAGTACTTCTTTTTCGTTGAAACTAGTTAGTGAAAAAATATTTGCTTTAGTCAGAATTAATGTTGGATTAATATTAGGCGAAAACATGGCATATTATTTAAAGGTTTTAAAATTAGTAGAGTAAAAGTGTAAATTTTTCCCTACTGTGTTTACTAATAATTTAAAGTAATAGCAGTTGTACTCAAAAAACATATTTATAGGCATAAATATGCATATAGCTATATGCAAAATTAAATGTAATTGCATGATTAAGGTCTCACTTGTCCTGGTGATCTATTTAGAAAAGCTGATCATTTACTCATTTATTCAACAAATATGAATGACCCTTCCCATGTGAAGGGGAACATAGGGGTGAACAAAATGAAAATGGTCCCTATAGACTCATAGCGTAGTGGGGAAGATGGACATTAAACCGAGAATCATCCAATAAAGCGTGCTTGCCCAGTGTGAGTGGGTACAAGGAGGGCACCATGAGGAGAACAGCGGGGGAACCGTGTTGCTGGAGATGGTCAGCCAAGGCTTCCCTGGGGAGTTTCATTTGAGCAGAGTCCCAAAGGGTAAGGAGAGGGAAAAGAATGTTCCAGACAGAGAGAATTGCCTCTGTGAGGGCCCAGAAATTGGACAAGCTCGATCTTCTGGAGAAAGTGAGAAGAATTGTGTGTCTTTGTGAGGCGAGAGAGTGGGTGGCAGGAGGTGAGCTGAGGTGAGCCAGGGGCTCAGCGGGAGAGAGCACCTCGAGATCAACGGGCAGGAGCTGTCCTGAGCGTGGAGCAAAGGGTTGTGTTCAAGCATAGACAGTCCTCACTGGCCTTAAGAATGCCATCCTTTATTATAAAGACAAGAATGTATTCTAGCAAGCTTGGCTTATAAATGTAAATAGTAGTAGTTGTAGATCTATAGAATAGTCTATTTTGGTAACCATATTCTCATTATCAAAAATCATGTTTTAAAAATGATTTTATTACCCAAAAAAAGATAAAATGAGAGAGTTTAGAAGTTAGAGCATTTCAGACTTACATCAACAAAGTTATTTTTCCTGCAGGAATTTCAAATAATAAAGTTCTTTTTAACAGCTATAAATATGATATGACACCAAGCAAATCAAGATTAATAGCCTTTCTTTTTCTAATAGTCCAGAGCCTGTTATGAGCAGTAGAGAACTGCATAATGCAAATATGTTCCCTAAGTAATCAATCATGCTTAATCCAGTTTGCATATGAATATTTTGGGTATATGAGCAATGCCTGTATTTTACTTTTGACTTGATTGCACAGTCACCACTTTAGTTCTTTGCTTTCCATTTTTCATAAGATATCTAAGATATTGTAGTTCTAGAAATAGAAGTGCTGTTCATAGTTTGCAAATTGGAACTCTCAGTGTATTGTATAGAAAGCTCTAGCAAATGTTCACGCTAAAAATGATCTTCTACATTTTCAGATGTTCATTAAAATATTCATATGACATGTCGAAATAAGCCTGATGATTTAAGTTATTTGTTATCTAATTGATAATCTTATAATTATTAAGTTCACTTAATCATTCTTTATTTAAAGGATTAAAGAAACCTTCTACCCTGATATTCCAAACCCAGAAAATTGTAAAGCGTTACAGTTTCAAAAGAGTGTCTGTGAGGTAATCCTTTATTTTTTTACATTTATCTTTGAAGTACTGGCTTCATTTTTTTATATGAAAAGTTTTTAATATGCAGATGTCATCATAAGTAAAATGTATTGAGTAAATAGCAATAACATCTGCTGAATTTGTGAAATTACTAATTTTAAATTGTACCATGCGTGCTCTTTTTTCCACTACTGTTAATAGCAAGGAAAATATCAATATATAGAAAAAATAGTAGCTTTGCTCTAGTATGCACTACAGAATAGTAGAGACAAGTTTTTACAAGCAGATATGAAAAAAACATAAAATAATGCCCCTTTTTGTAGGAAGGGCATTGCAGCGGCTTTTAGTGCTATCCTTAATCATTATTTTAAAATTTATTTCTAGGGAAACAGTGCCCTTAAAACATTGGAAATGAATCCTTGCACCCCAAATAACGTTGAGGTTCTGGAAACTCGATCAGCAGTTCCTAAAATAGAAGATACAGAGATAATTTCTCCAGTGGCTGAGCGTCCAGAAGACAGCTCTGACGCAGAACCTGAAAACCACGTGGTTGTGTCCTATTGCCCACCAGTCATTGAGGAAGAAATACCCAACCCGGGAGCAGATGAAGCCGGAGGGGCCTCACAGGTCATTTACATTGACATCCAGTCCATGTATCAGCCTCAAGCAAGACCAGAGGAAGAACAAGAAGACGACCCTGTAGGGGGGGCAGGCTATAAGCCACAAATGCACCTCCCTGTCACTCCTACTGTAGAAGATCTAGCTGCAGATGACGACTTAGATAAAACTGCAGGTTACAGACCTCAGGCAAATGTAAATACTTGGAACTTAGTATCTCCAGACTCTCCTAGGTCCACAGACAGCAACAGTGAAATTGTCTCTTTTGGAAGCCCGTGCTCCATTAACTCCCGACAATTTTTGATTCCTCCTAAAGATGAAGACTCTCCCAAATCGAATGGAGGAGGGTGGTCCTTTACAAACTTTTTTCAGAACAAACCAAACGATTAACAGTGTCACCCTGTCACTTCAGTCTACCATCTCAATAAGCTCTCATTGCTAGTGTTGCTGCGTCAGCACTGGGCGTCTTGGAGGGATCCTGTGAAGTATTGTTAGTGAGGTGGACTTCACTGCGCGCAAGTTACGCTAAAAGTGTTAGTGTGCTTTCAATGTAGTCTAAAAGCCAAAGTAGAGTAACTCAGAAATTCCAGCCACACAACTCAAGATTCGGAGCTGTTTGTGATTTGAGCTGAAGAATTCTCACGTGCTCTACCTTCAAGAAGCATTTCAAGGCTAATACCGTCTAGTCCGTACGTGGAAAGCAAATCCCACAGAAACCGTATTCTGTTAACCTGTTGTTAATGGTTTTCTCATATGTGTACTTTATGGAATCGCAAGCAGATTTGCAGGCAAGGGAGGAAAATGTCATAGTAACAGCTGATGTTTATTGGCCTGACATTTGCTCCATTCTAGATGAAAACCAAGCACAGATTTTAAAACTTCACATTATTCTCCTCTATCCACAGCATTTACAAAAATTAATATAATTTTTAATGTAGCGACATCTGTTTAGTGTTTTGTTTGATAAAGTGTGCTATTCCTGTGCCTACTGTATAATGGTTATCAAACAGTTTTCTCAGGGGTTCAAACTCGGAAAACAAGCGTGACACTGACCGCCCACATCAGAATCGTGCTTTCTTGCTTTGGTGGGTTTTTCAAACCGTTCCATTTTTTTTTTTTTAGCTTTTATGCTAGCTTCCCTTATCGCATTTGGTTGCCCTGATATTTAAAACTTAAATTTCTAAGACTATAGATCAAAGTTTTTAAAAACTCCGGGTTTTTTTTTTGTGATGTAGTGTCAGTTTTATAAGTATATGAGCAAATTCAATATTATTCATAAACACGTGATTCCAGTGGTTTACTATTTGAGATGACTACTAAGCAATATCTAGTGGCGTTAGCCATCCATGTGGTTCTGATTGGCTCCAGTTCCTCCTGAGAAGGCCATGCCCTGAGCCCTAGTCGCTCAGGCAGCGATGATGTTTGACACCTCATAGCAAGTGTTCCTCCTGATCGTGTGTCTTAGCATTTCCTCCCTCTTAAATGATCATCAGTCTGGACTATTTGATCCAGTCCTCAAATTTTTAAATATAAAACTAAAAACATAATGCTTCCTACAGGAACAATTACTCAAGGGCTATTTTGTATGAAATGTCATGAAATTGACCTGACTCAATAGGCATACCTATGTTAGAGGGCCAGCAGTTACTTTGTGAGCCGTCTACAGACGTGTGTCTTCACAGCATCCTCTGCCCACCCTTGGTTTTCATAAGCGATGTCTAGAATGAATGTGGTTCTCAGGAAAGCAAAATGAAAAACTAAAAATGCATCTTATATTTTCCCTGCCCTCGTGTTGTCTATGTGTTTTGTCTTTTGATAGTTAAGGCAAAAGTACTTAAATTTTAAATATTTGAATAAGTCAAGATATGCCTGTTTTTTATCATCTGAGGTTCTGTAATGTATTTGCACATAATGGATCAGTTATTCTTTTTCTAGCTCATGATGTATCTTTATAAAAATCGTGTTGTGGGAAAAAGCCACAAGGTGACAAGGGACAAAATCTATTTAGGTACTCTGTTTATGAATCCTGATTTTGACTGCTAGAATTCAGCTAAATTCCTGAGCTTCATGATATATGGACATGTGGAATGAAGTGGAATTAATTATGTACACACATAGTATATTAAAACTATATAAGAGCTCATAGAGATTTTCAGCAGTGAAAAATGAAGCAGACCAGAGCCATCCCTAACAGAGCTTGCTCTGCCTTCTTATTTCTCCTCTTGGGCTCCTTCTCTTAGCTTCCACCCCAGACGCTCAGACCTGGGGCTGCCTTTTCTCCCTGCCAAAGCTTGTCGTTACCATACCCCTCTTGCCCCCAGCTCATGCCTCATTCCCTGTTGAAATCTACAGATCCTGTACTTCATCTCTTGAGGATAAGTGTTGGCGGAGGTAGAAGTTTATTGGTCTAAACTACACTAACAAGATAATGGGAAAAGGCCAGACAACATTTGAATTCTGTCATCAGTATATATGATACGTATATATATATATATATATATATATATACATACACACACACGTTTGAATTCTGTCACCAGTATATATGCATTTCACCTGTAACCATCTGGATCCAGTGCCCTTTCTAACCCATATAACGACTCATTTGTTTAGCTAATGGTAAATATTACTGGGACTCTTGAGTCCTTCCACTCTGTCTAAAACTTCACTGCTTTTCCTGTATGCAAAAGGTTCAGAGTGCCACTCACCTGTCCCCTGCCCCTGGAGTTCTATACACAGTGATCGCTAAGTTCATGGGAAGCTGAGTGAAGCTCTGTTAGACTGGGCAAGCTCCTTTTAACTTGCTGTACGCTTAGAAGAATGTAGTTTAGGTCTGAGGCCAAAGCAGGTTTCCTTGTCTTTCCCCATTGAATTGAAGACAGCCAGACCCACTCTACAGGTTGGAAGTTATTACCTGGGCAGGTGGGTGCAGCCTTAACACAGGGAGAGAGGAGGGAGTGGTGGAGAGAGAGGACATCCTTTGTCATATATGCAGTTGTTTGTGGCACTGGAGACACATAAATGTGCACTGTTTGTCAATGCCGGGACCATGTACGAGTGTGAAAGGTGGTCTGACAGTGGCCATGCTCTGTCCAGTCATATTAGCTCCTCTCCCTGGGGGATGGGTAACTAAAGGCTAGTTAGACGGGAGGCTAGATGTGTTCCCTCCAGCCCTTCCTGACTGGGAAAACAATAGGGAAATCCCTCTTTCCTCAACTAAGGCCCAATCATTGGTTAGAAAATTCTAAATGTCTGAACTAGAATTATCTTCCATTATGTTGAATAATACTGCATATAGACACATTTTCACATCTCTTATAACCCAGTTCACTTGGAAGCCAATTTTAAATCAAGCTTCCTTTGTGAGGAATGGAGATTCTGGTGGTCATTATGACTGCATTTCTCTTGTGGGTGGCCCTCGTAAGTAAACAGTATTTAATATAAAAATATTCTTAGAAGATTTAGCTAGGCTTTTGACATTAGATAGACCTTGTACATTATGTATTGCATGGAGTAGTACCCATATACAATTGAAATCATCAGTGTGTTCAACCTGTAGAAGCCTGGATTTGAGACTGTGGCCTGAGTATCCGGATAGTTGGCGTGTGTTTCCGTGCTTAGGTGATGGAGGTGCTGTGTTCCTGCACCTTAGACCGAGAAGCAGCCCTTCCTGGGAAAGTTTAAGGGCGGAAGTATCAGCCTCATTTTCCATACCAGCATTACTTTCACGGCTCATGGATCTGAAGGATTGCATTTAGAACATCTAGTCCTCTTGCATTCTCAGAAACTGTGGTAAAAGTCACATTCTTAAAATTTCATGCAACTTGTATTCTTGTTGGAAAACAGTCCCGTCATTTCTTAATTGTCTTCATACCGTCCATATTTAAAGAACGTTACAGTCCTTTCTGTATTTGAATAATTAGATGTAGTTTAGTGAAGGAGACTAAGGAACATTTTCTTCCAAAGAGAATTTGAAATCAATTTTATGGTATTTTGAAATTAAAGTACTCCCTAACATGTCGATATTCAGAAAATGTTATCTCAAATTTTTCTACTACTCAGACACATAATCTCATACAACTTTTTGTTTGTTTACTTTAATGTAATTTTTGCTGTTTTGGTTTGAACCATGTTAAAATTTGTATATCTTTTATAAAATCTTTTTTCTTATTTTGAAAGCATTAAATTGGGCATCTCAAGAGTAAAATGTGGGATCACTGGTTAATTACAGAGACTAGGCACATAGCGGAAGTTCAGTGAGTAATTTTTTATTGACTGAGTTCCATCCCAGAGTGTGCAGATTCAACAGTTTTCCTGGAAGGTGGACTCTATCAAGATCTAGCTTGTGTAGGTCTGAGACTATTGCCTCGAAGATTCAATTCTGCTCTAAAAGTGGCTCCCCAGTGAAAGTGAAAACTTGGGCAAGACTCATGTAAAAGCATTGCTAGATATTGTATTTCTCCCTAATTTTATGTGTTCATAGTTTCTTTGTATTTGATGGGTGTACAACTTGGGACATTTTTGTACCAGCTAGCGTGTGTTCTGGCAAACCAACAACACATTGACTTGTAAGCTTAATTGATTAATATAAGCACTCATTTTCTTGATAAAGTATTTCTTCAGAGCATTTATTTTAAACTGGTATTTCCTGCTGAAACCAAGTTTCATGGTACCGTGCCCATCTTATCTTTTATATCCAGAAGAAAATTTTTCACAGAACAAAATGATTTGGGGCCAAACTTAACTGGAAATGCATCTTTTAGACATGACCTTAGAATATCACTGGAAATTACTTGGTTTGAGTTTGGTCTATTTATATCTTCATGGATTATGTACCAGGGCTATTAATAATATTTAAATCTATTATTTGGCTAGGGTGGTGAGATTTTTTGTTCCTTTTCAATTAGTGTTTTTGTCTTAACTAGTACATGATCATATTCATGCTAGTTATAATACAAATGAACTATTTTAATGCCAGTATGAAGGATTAAGAACAATATTCAGTTAATTGATATGTCAGGCTTTATTGTGTGTGGTAAAATTTCAGGGGGTGTGATTTGATCTAGAATATATCCAAATCCTTGCAATTATGTTGAATTATGACAGGATTCTATTATTTTTAACCACGAGTAGTGCTTGTTTCTCTCTATATTAGGAACGTCAATATTTTGGATTTTACCTATCCAGGTTATAAACAGAATTTACCTATACAAGACAAATTCTAACTGTGCAACATTTTTATGAAAATTAAAAGTAGTATTTTAAGAGGGAAACCCTCTGAATGTTTTTATATGCAAGTGCCTGGCTGCAGAACCGTAGAAACAATGAATTCAGAGGCTCTTAAATAAGTAAACTATGACTGATACAAATACAAAGCAGTAATAACTTACATTACTTTTTGGTTGCTATAACTAAATACCGTAAAAACCAAGAGTCATGAAGAGGAAAAACAAAAAGTGTTTAATTGACATGGAAATAGATTTTTATTACATTTGCATATATTTTCTAAGATTGCCTGTACAGTAGCCAATTAGAAGTGAAAACAAAACACTAGCATAGACCTTATGCTGCACTTGGCCCCAAATACTTGGTACAATTGATTGAATGGCTCACTTAAATGTATTGAATTTCCTTATACATTTAAAATGTACTTCCTTTTAGAATTAACCCATTTTAAATGGGTAACTTTCAGTTTCTGAACTTATTATTTTTCCTAAGCATTCCAGTGGTGCATTATAAAAGATCTAAAGATTTCCAGGTGGTAATACAATTTTCATTAAAACATGAACACATTAACTGTTAGGTTTAACATTAGTATTAATATTTTTACGGTCGATCATAGAAAACAATACTGAATAATGATATTCATAAAAATTCTTTTCAAATATTCTGTCCCCAGTTTGATTCCAAATACTTCTCTCTATTATTTATGATATATCTTTCTATTTAAGTTTTTGTTCCCAACATAATATTTAGGAAAAATGCAAATACGTTATAATTGAAGACAACACAAAAAAAGAAACCCTATTCAGTTCATTGTTGTGGAAAGATAGGTATTATATGATACCCTGGGATTTGTTTTATCCTATTATTTTTTCATAAAGGAGCATGGCTTTTTCTTAAATATGTCTCAATTTGGAATTGCTTGAAAAAGATTGACCTAGATAGAAAGACATCCTAAATTTGGGATGGTACCACTTAAACGATATGTCTCAAGCTAAAATCATTTTAAAATACTCAACTTTCCTAGTTTGAATGTGTTACCTTTTCTTCTCTTTCATTTGCTGGCCATAAGTCAGAGGTCCTTATAATGCTAGGAAATTATCATTTTTTACTTTCAAAATTGCATTATAGTGAATTACTGTTTACAAAATACACATACTGTGAACAGACTTAAGTTTTTGTCTTTTATAAGGTTGTTTGTAGAATGAGTGTTTTTTTAAAGGGGATGTTATATGTTAAATAGTTTCCGTTTTTTATAAATACTAGTAACTGTTTACTAATTTTTGTTTGGTCAGGTGTGTGCAAATGTAGCTGAAAGATAGGGAGAAACTGCAGATCTGAAACTGTTCCTTTTTTCATTTCTTGAAATGTTACCACTACAGACTTTTTTTTTTAACCTTAATGATCAGTTGTGATGTTCTCTACCTAAAATCATGCTTAACCATATAAGGAAACCTTTAAATATACAGATACAGAAAGTAAACTCTATAGATTGCAGTATATTTGTATAATTCATTCTGATTCACAGAATTCTAAGTTTAATGTGGAATAAAACAACTCCACTGACAGAGATGACAACTGAAGTATTTTTCTGCCCT